TGCCCTCATTCTCTCATTTGTGGGGAATTTGTAAAGCAATTTGATTATACTTTTTCCAAATGTGCATAATTGTCCTGTTAGTGATTTGTAACTCCATTATCTTTTAACCTCGCCCCAGACTAGTGTACAAGATGACCCAACACTTCCTCAAGCTCTGGCAGGGGTGATTATTGTATATCCTGCTTCCTTTTAAATGCTGACTACTTTTGTTTCTTACTTCCCTCCTCTCTCTGTCTCTCTTTTAGCTACCATATAAAATTCTTAGGAGCTTGGTTTACTTTTCAGCATTTTTTAAAATTCAGTACATAATTATTTTAAAATTTAAGCCAAAACAAGGTTGATATTGGTTAGCTAAATTTTAAGTTTTTTCATTATTGTCTAAACATTGTAGTTTATCTTAAAATTTAAGTATTGAGTATATGATTTCTTGCATATTGCAATATAATAAAAATATTTTCCTAAGGATTTTGTAGTACATTATATTGTTCCATTAACTTCCATATATAAAGGATACAGCATTCCTTTTAACTTTGAAAGACATTTAACCTCTGACTGATTATATGTGTATTTCTCATTTGTCATACAAAAATTTTATGTTCTCATTTATAATGAGATTTATGATTAACAAAATTTGTTTAACAGGTTATTTTGAAGATTTGTTTTCTAGAATTTTAGATTAGTGCCCCCCCCCCGCCCCCCATTTCTATATAAATCTCCCTATTCAGTGGTGACTACTGCTAGAGTTCCAGGAAACGTACACCCTGTGTGAGCACTTACTGCATTTTAAATTATTGCCTTTATTGTATTTCTGCACTTTCCTTCTATCTGAGAGCCAGTAGCTCCCATAAAGTACTAGGTAACAACTCAAACAATCAAATTAGGCAACCATTTGTAAAATGGGGGTGGGGCGGATCATAGAAGATGTTAGTTAAGGAACTTTGTAGTTTACTACAGGCCTAATGAATAAAAGATTTCACTGGAGTTTTTTCTTCCTTGAGCCTTAAAACACATCACTGTCAGAACTATTACAAAATAACTCTTTGAATCCATGTTGTAGTATTTTGGTGCTGTCTTATCAGGAGGTTATGTGGCCCAATTGCAAAGCAAAATAATAGTTGTTGTTATTATTCCAATAACTTCCATTTTGTAACAAGTAATTGTAACAAGAAAATAGGATTGGACCAGACATTTTCTTAAATATGTTCCCTTCAGGAACATTTCTTTTTCATAAAATGAAGCATATTGGTATAGAATTAAGGACTTGAAGTTGTGGGAGCCTTTAGTACCATTCATTGCCTACTGGGCATGGCTCAGTGGTTGAGCATTGGCCTATGAACTAGGTCACAGTGATGGCGCACCTTTTGAGCTCGGCGTGTCAGCATTTTGAAAAACCCTAACTTAACTCTGGTGCCGTGTCACATATAGAAATTTTGTTGATATTTGCAGCCATAGTAAAACAGAGACTTATATTTTTGATATTTATTTTATATATTTAAATGCCATTTAACAAAGAAAGATCAACGAAAAAAATGAGTTCGCATCTCACCTCTGACACGGGTATCATAGGTTCGCCATCACTGAACTAGGAGGTCACAGTTTGATTCTGGTCAGGGCTTATGCCCCGGTTGTGGGCCCTAGCCCCAGTGTGGGGCATACAGGAGGCAGCCAATCAATGATTTTCTCTCATCAATGATGTTTCTATCTCTCCCTCTCCCTCTCTGAAATCATTAAAAACATTTTTTTAAAAAATTAATTCAGTCAGCAAAATTATGTTGACTGCCTATTCTAGCTGTGGGCATGAGGTAGGAGGGGATTGAGAGGTGAGAATCTCGATCCTTATCAGATTCTGATTGCTAAGCGATGAGGTATGCTCTCCCTACTTCATTACTGTCATAGTTGTAAAATGAATAATGTGTTTTACCACGGAATCAATAAGAGACAATCACTCAGTTGTGAGACTCAAGAGAAAAGGGTGTTAAAACCAAAATTGCTATGTTTAACTTAATGAAGTGCTTACTAACACGAAAATATTCCTACAAGGCTGTGCTGGCTTTTATGCCTACATGTTTTCAAGAAAAATAAAAATTTCAAATCAGAAAATGACAGCTTTTCATCTGTTTGACTTTTTGCCCAATTGGATTTGAGAGGTATTTGAATAATGGATAATGAGCTTTACTGAACAAATACAGAAATTAATTCACTCTGGGCATAAATTCATTTTGTTACCAGAGCTTTATTATAAGTATGTTATCCCCCTTGTATTCATTGGGAAATCATATGTTACCTTGTTAAATTAGTGCCATTCCACCCCTGAAGTGCTGAGGTACATTTGAATGATTCTTGAATTGTTCTGTGTTTTTGTTTAGGGGAGACTTCTGGGAAACTGTTTCATGGCAAGTTTATTATGTCCTTTTTGGCTTGGCTCCTTAATTTACCCAGTGTTCAACTTTTCATCATCAGCTTTAAGGCCTTTGTTTTATTTTATTTTGTAGAAATTTTACATATTTGGTGGACTATTTATTTTTGACCAGCATAATAAAAGATCTAATGGGGATATTTTATGCTTGTGATAAAGTCAGCTTATACTTGTGTATTAGTGAGAAATCTTCTTTTTCTATAGCTATGGGAAAGTTAGCCTACCTTTGATAGTTTTAGAGTATAGAAATCTTGTTTTGCTGCAATTCTGTATAAAATTTTATGGCACAGTAGTTTACTAACTTTCTTCTAAACCACTGTTGTTAATTACCTTTAATTTTAAAGATACTTTTTCACTCCTCAATTTTAAGACTATTCTCCTGGCATTTTATTTTACTAAATGAAATATAAGTACCTGTATTTAGAGCCAGCATATATTTCCCATAGGCCATTCTAAAGTAGAGAAACACTTAAATGGATATATTTCATTATTTGTAAATTATACCTCAGAGTTTACTAGAAAAACTTACTGAACTACACACTTCATATGTGAGTATTTTACTCTACGAGTATACCTTAATTTTAAAATCTGTTTTTAGCCCATCTGGTGTGGCTCAATGGTTGAGCGTCAACCCATGAACCAGGAGGTCATGATTCAATTCCCAGTCAGGACACATGCTCTGGTTGTGGGCTCGATCCCCAGTGTGGGACGTGCAGCAGGCAGCCAATAGATGTGTCTCTCCCATCCATGTTTCTATCTCCCTCTCCCTTCCTCTCTTAAACACACACACACACAATATTGTGTGAATACCTCTTATTTTCCCTTTATTAAATGACATAGCCAGGTTTTTACTTCCCCTCTCTCTCACCAAAAAAGTGCATATTAATGATCCTTTGGCTGAATCAGTTACACACTGCTATGGATATTTTGACCCTGGTTTACTCAGAGTATTCGGTGGTTTGTCCATATTAAGTATTTCTTCCATCTTCATCCGTTCACACCAGTTGGGCTGACCTCTGATGGTTTCACCTCACAAGGTACAGTTTGTACCTGTTGCTAAATGCTTCAGACTTTGATTTTCATTACTTCAAGTTATTTTTTTCTGTGCTCTCTAGCATTTTCCTGAAAGCTTAATCATCCATAAAAGATGTGATTTGTGTGTTACTATAGATTCATTTGTTTAATTATAAACCTACCTGAGTTTATAATCTGTCATTGTGCTTTTAAATTATTGGTTTATCCTCTACTATGAGTCAAATATTCCTCCCTGCCATTTTGTAGTTTTTAAATAAGTAGAATAGCAGGATGTGGGCATTCTTTTTTCTTTCTTTTTTTAAAAATACAAGTTAAAAATGCACCTGGCTTAAGAAGTTAAATAGTACCATAATAGGTTTGTGATAAAATCCAGTTATTGGCTTGCCCACACCTCAAGCCATTACCCCAGTCTTTTCTCCCCAAAATTACTATTTTCAACTCTTGAGCTACTGATTCTAGCTTGTATCATTGTATATATCCAAATTTCTAAGGAACATGTTTATCTTTTGATTCATTAATTTAGACCTTTATTAAACTAAATTTCATTTTCTTAAACACCTCCTGCTTTTCCTCTCCTTTGTTTCCTCTCGCCGTCTTCCCAATATGATATATTTTTTTGGTAAAAAAACAATATTATTTACATTATTTCTCCCTAGTAGTCACAGATAGTGTTGTACTGTGCTGTTTACTTTTTTAAAAAATTTCCTGTAGTTAATAATTGCCTGTTATTTTTATTTGCATAGTTTTCTTTCTACTTATTGCTAATTCTTCTCATACCTTCTAGTAGCCTTTCAAACAATTTTCTCAAGGTCACTTAGTGCTGTCCAGTAGAAATACAATACAGCCCTCATATATAATTTTACCTTTTTAAGTAGCCAGAGTGAAAAAGTTTAAAAGAAGCAGATGAAATTAATAATATGGTTGACTTAACCCAATATGTTCAACACATTATTTCAACAAATAATATTTAAAATACTTAAGACATTTTACTTTCTTTTTTTTAGTACTAAGTCATCAATATCCAATGTGTATTTTACACTTTACGGAACCTCTTTTTTCAGACTGGTCACATCTCAAGTGCTCTCAGTAGCCATGTGTGACTTGTGGCTGCTGTATTGGACAGAATAATTTCAGGTGATTGCCTGGTTTCAGTTTTTTTTCTTGCAGATATCCCTACTGCAGACCTCCACTCTCTTTCTCTCTGGGTTGGTTGGACTGTAGGCATGTCACACAGAGCTATCATGTTGAGGCTGTCTTTACTTTTCTTCTCAATTAGATTTCCTCTCCCTAGATTTCAGGTCTTATCCTCACTTCTCTCTGGTCCTTTTGGTCACAGTTGCTACACGGACAAAGGCATATTGTTGGTACATCTATCTCTTGAGTCCTTCTGCTTTATTCTGGCCTGTGTACTTCCTAGGTCTGTCCATGGTTGTCATCCTGGGCGCTACTTCTTTCACAGTTTGGGGGGAATTTGCCTTTGCTTTTGTGTCAGATTTTTTTTCTTGTATATCTTGTATCTTTCTTTTTTGTTTATTCTCTGCTCAAGTAGAAGACATGCTCCATTGGATTGCTGAGAAAGGGGAGCATGGTTAGTAAAGTTTTTGAGACCTTGCATATCTGGAAATGTTATTATTGTCCCTCTCACTTGATGATTGTTGGGCTGGATATAGAATTCTAGGTTGGAAATCATTTTTCTTCAGAATTTTGAAGGCATTGCTCCATTGCTGTCTAGCTTTCAGTGTTCTTCTGGCAAAGTCAGAAGCCATCCTGATCACCTTATTTTTTGAAAATTATCTATTTTTTTCTTCCTGGAAACTTATAGAATATTCTCTTTGTCAGCAGGATTCTGGAATTGCAAATTTATGTGCCTTAGTATGGATCTGTTTGTATTATTATGATGAGCACTTAATGAGTCTAGAAGATTTTCTTGAACAATATTTTGATGTTTTCTTTCCTTGTATATTTTTAAAGCTTTCTTTTCTCTGTGGTTTATTAAAACAGGGTGTTTTTTTCCTGGTATTTTTTTTTCCTTGTAAATCTTTTTTCTACTAGAGGCTTTGCTCTTACATCTTGTAACCAGTGGTTGTCTGCACATGATGAAGAGTAGGAGCTTACAAGGCAGATCAAGAGCTCTGAGCAGCCGAAGCCGGTTTGGCTCAGTGGATAGAGCGTCGGCCTGCGGACTGAAAGGTCCCGGGTTCGATTCCGGTCAAGGGCATGTACCTGGGTTGCAGGCACATCCCCAGTGGGAGATGTGCAGGAGGCAGCTGATCAATGTTTCTCTCTCATCGATGTTTCTCTCTCATCGATGTTTCTAACTCTCTAGCTCTCTCCCTTCCTCTCTGTAAAAAATCAATAAAATATATTTAAAAAAAAAAAAAAAAGAGCTCTGAGCAGGTGGAAGAGGCTTGTTAGGGCTGAACTGGCCACGAGCCTCTAGGGCAGCGGTTCTCAACCTGTGGGTCGCGACCCCTTTGGGGGTTGAACGACCCTTTCACAGGGGTCGCCTAAGACCATCGGAAAACATATATAATTACATATTGTTTTTGTGATTAATCACTATACTTTAATTATGTTCAGTTTGTAACAATGAAATTGGGGGTCACCACAACATGAGGAACTGTATTAAAGGGTCGCAGCATTAGGAAAGTTGAGAACCACTGCTCTAGGGGATTGTCAGTTGCACACCCTGGTATCTTTTGGTCTTTTCTCTTGTCTGCTTGGATCATCTAGAAAGCACTCTGCCTCCTGATTTAAGTTTTTCAGAAAATCTCCAGATGTCTGCAGATGCCTGAGGCAGCAGGCGCAGGGAATAGTAGGGGTGGTGGAGATCCTGCTCCACTCCTGACAGATTTCATCCTGCAGTGAATCCCATCTGCCTTTCCAGAGAGGCAGCACTGGCTGAGTCTTTGGAGGATTCTGTGGTGTAAATCAAGATGGTTCTCTGCTTTTCCCACTGTGGGCTTGCAAGTCCTGCCAGCTACTGATTTCCAGCTTCCAGAATTCTGTTGCTGTTGTCTTCTCTCCTTTTCTTCCCTTGTGGATTTGTCTTTTTTTTTTTTAATTGGAGCAAAATATACATAAAAAATTTATCACTGTAACCATTTTTAGGTATACAGTTGAGTGGCATTAAGTGCATTCACATTGTTGTGTGAGTTTGTCTTTTAATAATAAAATACAAATTAAAAAGCAAAGATTTTTAATGTGATTGTGGTGGTGTCTTAGGGGGGCAAAATTAGATGTGTGTAATCAGTCTAGCAGGAGGCATAATGCAGGTTTTCTGTTAACCCAGGCACTTCCTCTTTCTGACAGTTGAGTATAATGCAGGGGTGGGCAAACTTTTTGACTCGAGGGCCACAATGGGTTCTTAAACTGGACCAGAGGGCCGGAACAAAAGCGTGGATGGAGTGTTTATGTGAACTAATATAAATTCAAAGTAAACATCATTACATAAAAGGGTACGGTCTTTTTTTTTTTTAGTTTTATTCATTTCAAACGGGCCGAATCCGGCCCGCGGGCCGTAGTTTGCCCACGGCTGGTCCAGCTCCTAACCCCACACTGCTCGAACCCCAGCCACAGGGTTGTTCTTCTTTTGTTTTTCTCTCATGACCTTATACATGCCTCTGAATTATCACCTTGAGTTTCCCACACTGCCTGCCTGGCTCCCTTTGATGTCTGTTTGTGCACTGGGTCTTCCTCAGTGCTTGGCACATAGCCCATGCTCAGTTAAATGTCTGCATGAATGCCTGATGCCAGAATTTCAAAAGAGAACTCTTTCTCCTTTTTTCATAGGATATCCGCCACGAAGCCAGCGACTTCCCATGTAGAGTGGCCAAGCTTCCCAAAAACAAAAACCGAAACAGGTACAGAGATGTCAGTCCCTGTAAGTATTCACATCGCCATTCCCGCTCTTACTGCTTCCATTGCTCTTACTGCTTCCATTGCCCTTACTGCTTCCATTGCTCTACTGCTTCCATTGCGTGGGGCTCTTCTTCAACTGCAGGGCCTTTCAGTAAGACTCCTGTAGCCTGGGCGTTTGGTTATAAATCAGTAGCCATAGAGGTTTATGACTTGATTGTTTCCTATAACAAAGGCATTAGAGACTTATAGTAATGGTTCATTTTTCCACCATCATAGAAGGGATAAGGTTTCATTTTTCTGGAAAATTCAGCTAAATTCAGAGCACTATTTTAGCTTTGACTGTTTTTCTGATGAATCATTTTCCTACCAGCTGAAGCAGGAGAAATATATCCTTTTCTGGATGACTCAGCAACAGTATTATTATTAGACCCCAAGCATTGTATTGAACTGTGATAATGCCCTATGCAGGCATTCAGAGGTGGGAGCTGCTCACTCCTTCTACTAAAGGCACAAGTCAGCTCTGCTTGTCGAGTCCCACCCCCCTCTGCCACCGTTCTATTTCCAGCTGTTTTCTGCCGTTAGCTCTCAGTGTGCCTGCTGGCCTCTGGCAGCCTCTTCTGCCTTCTGAGTACTTGGCTCTCAGTCTACTGATATCTTGAAAGTAAATAAGTCAGTGTGTTAGAATTTGTATAAAGCAAGACACACTGGAACTTTGCCATCTCCTCTAGGCCACAGAAGCCTTTTTGCCTCACCTTCATGGTTTTTAGATATTGTCAGTAGGTGAGTTGTAACTGCCGACATCTCCTATGGCAGTATTCTCTGCCAGGGTAGAAGATTCTGTGGGTCATCCCTTAAGCATACTGCCCCTGTCAGCAGTGCTCCCTGCCCTGAATTGAACAGGGACCAGGCTTCTGGGAGGGGAGTTAAAATGGACCTAGGTTGGTACGGAGCTGTCTGTCTCTGATTGCTGCCACAATTCCCTGCCTAGGTTTCTATCTCAGCCTGCCACTTCCAGCTGTGTGGCTTTGAGCACAATGTTCTCTTCTCTGACCCTCAGTAAAACAGTAGTCATACTGAAGATGAAATACAGTAGCATCAGCCACTTGGCCTAGTGTCTCACTCAGAAATGGTGGCAGTGGCTGAGATCGTCATTAACTGAATGAAGGCAAATGCCAACAGCATCTAAATGCCTAGCATTCTAGGGCATCAGGTGGCACATGATTGTGCCCCAACACCTGACACTCTTGAGGTAGCTTGTCCAGGCTGTGACACATCAGAGATTATATATATTTTTTAAACTTCCTTGAGTGATTCTGCTGTGAGGTCCTGGCCAGCTGCCTGGACCTTGAAGGAACAGTTAGTGTTTGCATCTTTTAACATTGCCAGGAGATACCCTTTGTCTCTAGCTTTTGCTGTACTTTCTCTGAGTTAGTCAATAATGTGTTCAATATTTCTTTTCTCCATCTTTGATGAGTACTCAACTAAACGGTTTTATGAACCAGTTTTACAGAGAAAGAAAGCCTTTAAAATATTCTTCTAGGGAAACATTCCGAAACGTTTTATCCCCAATCTCACTTCTCATATTGTTATTTTCTCCCCTACATCCACTCTCCAGTAGAAAAACTAATTTGCTTTTAAGGTTATGGAGGAAATGAGAGAATGATTCAAGGTAGAAGGGGATCTTGTTATCTTCCATTCCAGTGAACAACTGAATGCTCACAGGAGTTGTTTGCCCAAGGTCCCCCAGCGCTGTTTTAACCCGCTCACATAACTCACCAGTGCCAGTCACATAATTTTTCTTCATGACCCACTTACATGTTATCAATCAAGCTATTTCAGTTTGTATTAACCTTCCACAATGAGAAAAAGTGTTCCAAATTGCTAATTTTCAAAATCATCTCTTTGGAATTTTTTAGAACAAAAAGCCCCAAACCATTTATCCTCACTAACTTCTTCCCCATTGAGCTGGGGAGAAGATGCTAGTTATGGGTGATCACCTGAGTTCATTATCCCTTATGTCAGCTGTTCTCAACCTGTGGATCTCGACCCCTTTGGGAGTCGAACGACCCTTTCATAGGGGTCGCCTAAGACCACCGGAAAACACATATATAATTACATATTGTTTTTGTGATTAATCACTATGCTTTAATTATGTTCAATTTGTAACAATGAAAATACATCCTGCATATCAGATATTTACATTACGATTCATAACAGTAGCAAGATTACAGTTATGAAGTAGCAACGAAAATAATTTTATGGTTGGGAGTCACCACAACATGAGGAACTGTATTAAAGGGTCACAGCATTAGGAAGTTGAGAACCACTGCCTTATGTTATATCAGAAATAAAAATCGTCACCTGTTGTTAGCTGCACTAGTAGGAATAGGAAAGTGGCCCTTGGGGAATCATTGTTACTTTGACAAAGTCATGGTAAAAGGGTGGGGGGGGGGGGGGGGAATGCTGTACTTTTTCACTAATCTGGACAGAACTTCCAAATGAGAGTTTATTTTTAAAAGCTATTCTGAAAGTTACATTTAATATACTTTCAGGGTTTTTTAATTCAAAATTACTTTATCTAGTAAAACACTTTTTTAAATGTCTTTGGTCATGACAGATTCTGGCTTGGAATGATTTAGAATTACTTAATATATTAAACTTGAACTTGAGAAAAAAAAAAAAACCTGTGTAAAGGAATTCAAGATGTGACTTTTCACACTGTTGTGTACTTAGGTCATTTAATCTTCAAACCTTTAGATGTAGGCTAAGTTGGGGTGTGCTCATAAATTCTATCCTATAAAAGTATATACAGCCCTAGCTGGTTTGGCTAAGTGGATAGAGCATCAGTCTGCAGACTGAATGGTCCCAGGTTCGATTCTGGTCAGGGGCACATATCTGAGTTTTAGGCTCGGGCCCCAGCCCTAGTGGGGTGCATGCAGGAGGCAACTAATCGATGTGTCTCACTCACATCGATGTTTCTCTCTCTGTGTGTCTCCCTTTCTTTCTACTCTCTCTAAAAAATCAATGGAAAAATATCCTTAGGTGAGGATTAACAACAACAAAAAACGTATATACATGATGGGGCAAAACTAGGTTTATAGTTGTGAGTACACAAAACAGTTCATTCTCGTGTTATTATTCATTGTTGTATTATTTTCCATATGAACCACTGTAAACCTGCTTTTACCCCATCCTGTATTAGGCATCAGAACAGATTTCTTGACATCTCCTCTCCCCAGTCTACCAAGTTGTGAGGACAGTAATAAGTGTCGTAGGAAGATACAACCTAAGCACAGATTTCCCAAATGGGACGTAATCCATGTTTTAGTGTAGTTTGTCCCTGTTGCTATTTAGTATTAGGTTTCAGACACTTCAGAAACCTTCCTGAAAGTTATCCCCATATTGATGATTGGTTTCCATTTAAAAGGCATTGCCTCAGCCAGTGTGAATGCCCTTCATGCTACCAACTCAACTTCTTTGCTTTCCCTATGGGTGCACTGCCTGTGTAGACACTTTGGTCATCCAGGATTAACCTCTGAGTTCTGATTTGCCTTTCAGTTGACCATAGTCGGATTAAACTACATCAAGAAGATAACGACTATATCAATGCTAGTTTGATAAAAATGGAAGAAGCGCAGAGAAGTTACATTCTTACCCAGGTAAACCCGGGATTGTCTGAATTTTTTTTAATGGTTTTTGCCTTGCTTGATGTCCATTGAAGCGTTTTAGAGTGCTGTTACTACACCTCAAATAAAATCAACCACATTCTGTAGAAGTTCAGGTTTTAAACCACCCATAAAAGCAACAAGGTAGGAAAAAATCCTCCTTCAGAGATTCAGTTTGGTTGTAACACTAATCTTTCTGAGAAGTATGACATTGCTGGGCTTATGAGAAACAGCATTTAAATGCAGAATTGCCTGTGGTCTGTTCACAGAGGCAGCAGAGCTGTGGCTAGAGAAGGGCCTGTACCTGTATTGATTCCATAAGTGCCTCAGAGAATTGAATGCTTCTCATGGAAGTCTTAGAGGTGTGGTAGTTACTAGGAACTTTTGTCCAGATACCCATTCAGAATTCTGTGGCATGGTCCTCCTTTTTTGGTCCAGAAAAAAACCATTAGAGTATGTGAACAAGGATGCAAAATCACTTAAAATTCCCATTGGCTTTGGCATCTTTATGGAAAGGATCATAAAAGTGGTTTAATAATTGATCTTCTTGTGAAACATTTACTGGTAGAAGGCCCAAAACAATGGGTTTCTGGGAATGGGGATAAAGGAAATTCTTTTTGATTTTCTCAAGTCTTATTCTGTTATCTGTAAGTTAGTCTAAACTATCTAAGTTTCTCTCTTTTTGTTTTCTTATTCCATATCAGTTTATCAGTCTTTTATATGGCTCTGAGTTGTAGGGTGATTTTGAACATCAGAATTCTGTCTAATATTTGGAAATTAAAATTATGGAGAAGCCAGAAAGCACTATGAACAAAGGGCTGCTTTTGGGGCAGGGAGCTTAGATGAGGGCATATAAGTTGTGGCCCTTCTTCTCTGCCCCTTTTTTGTCCTGTCCCAGTTCCCCATGTCCATGACCATAATCAGCCCAGATGCCTCCCAGTTTTAATGTATGGAACGTCAGCCATGCAGTGTTCACTTCTGTGGGCTATTGAGTAAGTTCTTGGTATATGAGTAGGGGACAGGCCATTACTGGGATGGTTGGGGTGGGCTGGGGTGGGGTGATAAGGAGGAAGATCCTTCGTGGTGTCAAACTGGTGGGAAGAGGTTGAGGCAAAAGTGGCTTCTTGGGAACTTGTCTTTTCAGAAGAAGTCAAGTCTTACTTCCTGATTTCAGCCATTCAACTTTGTGTGGGGTCAGGAAGTCCAAAGCAGAGATTCATAGGTGTATATTCATAGTCAAATGGAATTGAAAAAAATCACCATGGAAACTTTTGTTCCCTGTCTTCCCCATCTCTTTGCCCTGACAATTACTTGGCACATCTGAAGTTCTGTCCGTTTGAAGGGTGGCACCACAGATGTATCTAGCTGCTGACATGGTCTCCCTTTGCCCTGGGATTTACAAAAGGGATTAAAGCAGCCTGACCCAAAAAGTTGCACCTCTAGATAGTATGACTGAAACATTTTCCAAACCACAAAACCAAGAAAACCCTGCCCGTTTTTTAATTTTCATTATTGTTCATTATGTAAATAATACCAGTCTTTTTGAAAATCAGAGGTATAGATGTGTTGTAGAGAATAATGTCAACAGTGCCCACCTTCACCTTCCCCATGAAGTGTTGGCTAAGTTTGGTATGTATCCTTTCAGATCTTCTGGTTTTTTAATTGATTTTAGAAGGGAGAGGGGGAGAGAGAGAGAGAAATAGAAACATCAATGCTGACAGTCATCAATCAGTTGCCTTATGCAGGCCCCCTACTGGGGATTGAACTCACAACCTAGGCATGTGCCCTGACTGGGAATTGAGCCATGACTTCCTCGTTCATGGGTCGATACTCAACCACTGAGCCACACCAGCCAGGCTCCTTTCGGATCCTATGTGATATTTAATCCCTCAGATCCATTCTAAGCTGGAGTGATGTTGGAGGGTAGGGAAGGCAACAACTGGTAACCAGAGCCAGAGAGCTGCATCTGCTGAAGGCCCGGTGAGGGATCCTCATGCTCGGGTGAGAGACTGAAAGGCCTGCGTGGCCAGCCAGGAGGCCATGTGATTCAAGGAGCCACTTTTCTGTTAGTTTGGGGGAAAGGGTTACACATGTAATCCCCGTTGTCTGAGTCCTACGGCATGTATGTGGAGTGCAAACTTTTGGGTCAGACAGCAAGTCTGAGGTAAGTTCAGAAAAGAAAAGGAGAGCACTAAGTGTTTGCCTGGGCAAGGAAAGTGTGGTGAGACTCCAGGGGAAAACACGTGAAGAATAAGGAGAAATTGGATGAAAACAAGTAAGAATGGAAACCATTCCAGTGCTGGAGGAGATAGGTCTTACTGAAAACAGACAAACTTGAAGCACTTGTACCCTTGTACTCACTAAACATCTATGCCCTTTGTACGTGGGCTAGAGTGAGACAGGCCAGCTGCCTGGCAGTCACTCCATCATGACCCTTGGACCACCTGACTGACCACCTGACAACAACTGATGTGTTGTCCACATCTCTTATGTTCCATGGTCCAAGGATAAAGGCTGTCTATGGTCAGGTTTACCATTATTAATAGTAATAATAATAGCTAACATCTCATTGGTTGTTTACTATGTTCCAGGTACTGTGGGAAGACATTGATATATGGAACATAGTTAATTTTCAAACCCCTATGAGTAGAAGCTCACTAGTTTTGCTTAATATTCTTCTGCACCTGATAGTTTTGCCTAATAGGTGGATGCTAGTGGAGCCCTTTGACCAGCCTAAACCAGAAAGCAGAATCAGTGTTTTTTGTGTGTGTTTTTTTAATATATTTTATTGATTTTTTACAGAGAGGAAGGGAGAGGGACAGAGAGTTAGAAACATCGATGAGAGAGAAACATCTATCAGCTGCCTCCTGCGCTCCCCCTACTGGGGATGTGCCCACAACCAAGGTACATGCCCTTGACCGGAATCAAACCTGGGACTCTTCAGTCCGCAGGCTGACGCTCTATCCACTGAGCCAAACTGGTTAGGGCAGAATCAGTGTTTTTTTTCCCGCCCTTGTGGATCAGCCCTGAGATGTGGAAATGACCTTTCACCATGTGTTAGAATATAGAATTGTGGTTACTGACCACTAGGCAGGGAGAGTTGGGTCTCTGGCCCAGCTTCTGCCCCCACTCTGCCTCAGGGCACTGTTATCTGCTAGTTGCCAATGATGAGCTTGCACTGGAATATGTTTCTGTATAAATGGCATGCACTTTGTGGGTTGTTTTTTTGCAGGGCCCTTTGCCTAATACGTGTGGTCACTTTTGGGAGATGGTGTGGGAGCAGAAAAGCAGGGGCGTGGTCATGCTCAATAGAGTGATGGAGAAGGGATCGGTAAGTGTGCGTTTACTTATTCTTATATCACTGTCTATCTGTGTCAGTTACAATGTTAACAGTTTCTTTTTTATTAAAAAAATTAAAGAGGTACTATATAAATACATGTTTATTATAAACAAGTCAGATAAATAAGTGAATTAAAAAGAGAGACAAAGGTAAAATTGCCCTGTCCCCTTCCCACCCGCCATCAATGAGCTTCTCTCCAGAGTTTTTTTTTTTTGTTGTTAATTCTCACCGGAGGATATTTTTTCATTGATTTTTAGACAGAGTGGAAGGGAGGAGGAGAGACAGAGAGAGAAACGTAGACGTGAGAGAGACACATCAATTGGTTGCCTCCTGCACCAGCCCCGACTAGAGCTGGGATCCACCCTGCAACCAAGATAAGTGCCCTTGACCAGAATCGAACCCGGGACCCTTCAGTCCGAGGGCTGACACTCTATCTGCTGAGCCACACCAGTTAGGGCTCTCTCTCCAGAGTCTGATGTGTGTGCTCTGCTTCACCCTCACCTGGGGTTCCTGCTCTGCTGGGGTGCATTATGGAGCTGTGGAGCCATAGTTTCGTTTTGAAAGGCCAATGTCTACTGTGTCTTCACATTAGCTTTTCTGGCTGTGGGAATGGCTGGACTCTGTATTTGCCTCTGTAAAATCCCAGCCGCTTGGCTCCTGGCCACATTCTTCAGTGTGGACACTATCAGCTTACGCATTTATTTCAGGATTTGTGTTACCCTTTCTTCCAAGTTCTTTGCACCTCTCAAAACATCCCTCAGTCTGGTATGTGGACTAAAGGTGTGTGTTTGTTCAGGCCATCACCCCCCCCCCCCCCCCTGGTGCATCTGTCCCTTTAGCCATCCTCACCACCCTGCTTTCCAACCTCTCTCCTGTCTGTTCTGACCCTGCATCCAGAATGACCTTTCTAAACCCAGTCTCACCACACTTCTTCCCTCTGAAAACCCTTCTGGGACTCCTCCTGCCTCCTAGTAATATGTAAGGTGGCTGCAGGATCCAGCGTGATATTGAGTGTGGTTGGGCCTCAGTTAACTTGGACCCTAATCTTCCACCTCTGACTCCAGCCAGAACAAACCTTTTTTTTTTTTTTTTTTTTTTTCATTTTCTTGACAGCTTACCATGTTCTCTAGGCTAAGGATCTGAATCATAGTGCCCACCCTCACCCCATTTCCAGGTGTCCTCAGATTGCTTCCCCTCTGGTCAGCCGTAGCTTGTGATGCCTTCCCTTCCTACATGGCTTATTCTGCAGGATTGCCTGTTAAAAGCCTGTCTCTGTGTAAGACTCCATGCATGCCCAGCACAAGTGTGGTATTCAACATAGCAAACAGATGCCACCTCCCCACTACCCAGGTCCTTCCCTCCTCCCCCAACACCTGGCTCAGCTGGGGCTCTCCAGCCTCAGAGGTGAAGCCCCAGGAAAAGGCTAGTTGAGGATTCTTCTATGAACCGGTGCTCAGGAGCAGAGAACTGGGTGTGCTGGGCCTGCCAGGTGCCAGTACTGTGCTCTCCTGAGCGTGGTTAGGCACAGCTCTCCCAGCTATCCCGACCATCTTGGGACACAGTTATGGCCAGAAGAACATGAAGGCTCCAAAGAAGCCACTTCTCCAAAGAAAGCACAGTCATGGCCCTAGAGAGTAAAAAGAAGTAACACATCAAAGGAAACACGGCAATAAAAATGGAGGCATTCACCACAAAGCCTCTCTGCTCCCCCCTCAGGAGAAATGGTCTCAGTTACAGCAGATAATCCTCTTACTACAGCACGTATTTAAAATTGTGTATTTTACCTCTGTCCTCTATTCTCAAAGGGAACTATTTATTTGCTCAATAATAATGAAGCGCTTACCTTTGTGTTGACGTTGATGAAATAATGCTTTTGTCATTTTTTCAGTGAAAGTGGTGTTTAATTTTTTCTGCTTCGTTGGCTTGATTAGTAAAATGTGAAGTTGCAAATGTGAAGGAAGCCCCTACCAGTCACCACTCTTGTCAGCAATTTTGAATAAAGAAACAAAACGTTAGGTTCCCACAGCACACATTCTCCCCAAGGGAAAGTGAAACATGGTGGCCTTTGCAGGTGTTAACACAGATCACCATTCGGGGATTTTCAGCCTGGGCCCTGCTTGCGTAGGGCTGCAGCATCCCTGGTCTCCACAGTGTAGGCGCCAGCAGCAACCCCGCCCCCAGATGTAGCAACCAAAAATGTCCCCTGACATTGCTCGTTATCCCGTGGGAGGCAGAATTGTCCCTGGTTGACTGTTCTAGATGATGTAAAGGGTGGGAGTTTTAAATCAAGACTCATTGCCCTAGCCGGCTTGGCTCAGTGGATAGAGCGTCGGCCTGCGGACTGAAGGGTCCCAGGTTCGATTCAGGCCAAGGGCACATGCCTGGGTTGTGGGCTCAGTCCCCAGTGGGGGTGTGCAGGAGGCAGCCAATCAATGATTCTTTCTCATCATTGATGTTTCTATCTCTCTCTCCTTCTCCCTTCCTCTCTGAAACCAATAAAGAAAAGAAATATATTTAAAAATAAAAATAAAAAATAAATAAATCAAGACTCATTTATTCAAAAATCATCAAATATGATAGCATTTACTTTAATTTATTTGTTGCTAAAAGTTCGGGTAAAACCTCTTTGTTGTTTGCACACTGTTTGCTTTAACCAACGTAGTCGCAGTACAACAAGGAGCAGTGTCCCAGCACTGTAGCTGCATGTTCGTCACCAGGCCTCGCTCTTGATTATCTCCCGCCCATGGCTGACCGACCATAAGTGAACCATAGATCCACTGTAACAACCCCACCCCTTGGATTGCTATGTCGGCCATTACGACAACATGGCTGGTTGGTTTTGTTATAGTTTATTGTGATAACATGACAGTAGTCCCTACTTTCCTTTATAACTTTTCACTCAGGGTTATTTGGGCATGAAAAGCAGCATATGACGACATTTTCATTTGGCAGCAACAGTATCATCCCATAAGGACTGACTGGCAAAAAGTATAAGAAGATGCAATGTCTTATTTGCTCAGCTAATCTAATTATAAACTATCCTCACAGCCATGGTAAAAACCAGTTTGCAGAGCATTTCCATTTCATGTATGTTTGTTTTCTGGTTTCCTTCCTTCACCAAATAGTGTAGGATGTTCTCTTCTTATTTTTGGCAGACCTGTTTGTTACCCTTTTGGGACCCTGTGCTTCCTGGAAAACAGTGTGCAGAAAATGATTGTGTATGTTAGACTGTGGTCATGCAAATGGCCAAATTGATTTGATTTCAGTATTAACTGTAGGTGTGTCAATGTAGAACGTGATATGTATGTAGGATTGGGATTGTTGTTTAGGCAGGGGAAATAAACAAGGTGAGTTTAGCTTGTTATTCCAGAAGTATGGCTTATGTCTCTCCTGAAATCCCTACTAAAGGCGCTGTTTGATTTCAAGTGCTTTTGGGGCTCATCCATCTCTCTCATGCTCTGCTTAGTTCTCTGTGTTGATCATTCTGTGGAAAAGCCAACTGGACTGTCACAGGGTCACCCTGATGACTTTCATAGATTTTTCTTCAGGTTGCCTAGCTATTTGTTTTAGGAGGTCCCAAGGGCGCACTCTCTCTTTTTCTCCCTTTCACATACATACACAGGTCACTCACATCTGCCTTCATGGCAGTAACCGCAACTAGGACAATACGGCCATGTTGCTGTTTGGTGCCAATCCAAGGCATGCCTCAGTTGGAATCCTGGAGAAAGACCGCTTTCTAACTAACTCTTCTTTTCAGGTCGTATATTTCTCTTTAATAGGATAACAGGAAGTAGTGAGCTTGTGCTTATTTTGTGTTTCTAAAACAAATTTTATACAGGAAATGACAGAGCAGAGTGTGGCATGTTACTGTAGATGCCTAAGAGTTCTCAAAAGTAAACTTTTGATTGACACTTAGGGTTGCCAGAATGCCTCAGTTGTAGAGTTCCAGAGCCTTGGTCTTTACCCAGATTACAGAGCTTTATTAGGCTTAGTGGGTGCTTGCTGTTTGGAGGTGGGATTTAGAAACTCATCTTCCCTGCTCAGGAAACATGAAAACATTGGCCTCTTGGTGATGGGCTTTTCTGTGTCCCTGCTCCTTTATCCCATTCTCTCTGCACTTGCCATGTTGGGTGCTCTTGCCAACAAACATGGTTTTGAACTTGCCCAGACAATCACTTTGTTTCTGGGGTCTTAAGGAATGACAGGTCTAATTATTTGACCCGTGGGAATAAACGCATCCTTTAAAGGTCTTCTAAAGTCTTGCTTCCAGCTGCCCCACCTATTTTGGCCAAGCATGGGTCTTGCCTTTCATTAATGTTTCTGTGTCCTGAGAGGCAGAATTGCCTCGATGCTGACAGATTGGTCCCATTCCAGAGGTTAGTTTATCTTTGGCAGCTCATCATCAATATGGGGGGAGGGTGACAGGGGTGAAGCTGGCCAAGAATTTCAAACAGGCCTGTGTCCAGGCTCTTAGAAAGTCCTATAGCCTTCTGTTTTGGGACCGTGGAGTTAGATGTCGTGTTGGCATCGCATGCTGGTGTTCTTGATTTGTCTGTTTTTGCTTTGTTTTTTGGTCGTGTGCAGATTTAGCGGAGCAGGATCGATGGGCGTTTGTGGTTCTGTGTTCATCATTCTCAAGAGCCTCCTGGCTCCTCATTGCCCAGGTGATGGATGCCACAGGTTCCCAGGCCTGCTGCCAGAGTCACTGTGGTCTAGGGCCTCCTTTGGCCCCGTCTTCCGCTGCTCCTCTGAGATGGGCTTCTTTGTAGTCAGTGCCTAGGAATTCCTAGACATCCTTCCAAAATACCACTGTCAGAGCCTGCTTCTTCCACCGAGCCTTCTCTGATCTCTTTCCCATAACCTCAGCCAGCCTGAGACATTTACCCCTTCTGAATTCCCAGGGCACATCCATAGTGTTTTCTCCTCAGCACTTCCCTCTGGCTATCTTGTCACTGCTGGGCATGAACAGCCTGTCATGATAGACAGTTGGCCCTGGAGGGACTCCCTCCACTTCCTGTGGCATTTCAGACACAGCCATCCTTTGCCTCGGAGGTGGTGTTGAGTGTTGACTGCATGTTGAATTACAAGTGTCTTGAATTTGTACCATTTCCCAAGGAGCTATTTGCACACACTGATACTTCATTCTATGGAAACCATAACATCTTTGAGGTTCCATCATAGACAGCTTAGCCCTCGTCTACCAGCTGTTTTTGACCAGAACAGTCATCAGCAAGCAGAAATGATAGGCACTGGCACAGAAATTTAGCTCAAGCAAAATATGCCATAAAATGTGAGTCAAATTCTTAAACTCTAAATGAAACCAAATCTTTGGAATTTTACTTGCTTTAAAGAAAAGGTTATTCAAGACCATAAAGTAGTTTCTGAAATTATTAAGCTAAAACATCAATAGTGTTTTTCTGAACTGAAGCAAAGCAGAGCAGAATGAAAGTGCAGGATGAGGCAGTGGGTGATCCCATGCCTTGGAGGAGCCCCTCTCCAAACCTTTGCTGAATAGTTTTCATGTAATATCAGCCCTCCAATCTTTCAAAGTGTTTCGAATGGTCTCTTCTAGCCATGTTTTCAATTAGCCTGTTATTTTCCCCAGGGTAAGGTGTCTGCACTATGCCACCAGCACTGATCAGATTCCTAGCAATCTTTAAAATGGTTATATAAAGTACTTTGTGAGAGACTGAACATTTTGTGTAATATGGCTTCCCCTCGTAGGTGATAGGGAAAGGATCTGACCCATGAAACACCGCACTGTCTGATTACCAGGGAGCTGCTGGCTTGGAAGTCTGTACCCTGCCTGCACAACTAGCCGTGATTAGATCTTCACAGGCCCCTCCCTATCTCCCCAAAGGGAAGGGAGGTTATGCTAATGGTGACTTCCAAGGTCAGAAAACCTCAGGCCTTTGGGTTTTCTTCAAGTTCATGGAAGGTACTTCGAACCTTCTGTCATAGGAAAACAGTCATTTGCTCACAGTAATTCGCTGTTATTTTCTCCCCTAGTTAAAATGTGCACAGTACTGGCCACAAGAAGAAGAAAAAGAAATGATCTTTGAAGACACAAATTTGAAATTAACATTGATCTCTGAAGATATTAAGTCATATTACACAGTACGACAACTAGAATTGGAAAACCTGACAGTAAGTATGGCATGTACTTAAGTATTTCACACGGTTACTGGTTGAGATTTATTTTTCTTTGGGTGATAATTACCCAATTCCAATTTTCCTGGTTTTGTATACCCTGAGCAAGATGTGGTTTTGGCACTATGATGAGCAGACCTTACCTGCTTATTTACCATATCATCAGAGGTGTCTTGAGTGGCAAGGGAGGGGTCTTATATACCTCTTTTCCTATGTAGCTCACTCTCTCTCTCTAAACTCGAACATTAGGCAACAACAGTTCTTAGGAGAGGGGAGTTTCTTATCTAAAACTTAATCTGTTCCTACCTTTGCAGCTATAGAGGATTGAAAGGTCAGCCTGCAGGTTAAATACCAGCAGAGCATGCTGCCTTCTTTCATTGTCTGTGGCCTGTCTTCTGAAGAGAGGGGAAAGGGTCCTTCTAGGGCTCAGCCCAGTTTCCTATGATTCATACATAGCCAGTGTAAGTTTTCTAGGTGAGGTCTTAGGTTTATTTGTTGTGGGAAGAATTGATAATACTGAAGGCTGGCTTATTAGTAAAAGGTGGTGCTGGAACATGGCAAGACACTATGTTAAGAAGCTGCACCACAGAAGGCCCTGCCCCTGAGGGTTCTGAATCACTCACCTGGAGCCATCTCTCTGAGGAGCCCATAGCTCAAGGCAGCTCCTGGGGACATGCCCAATCGAGGTGGTCAGCCACTACCTTCTGAAACTAGAGTGCCTGGGATTGATCCTGGCCCACCATAGCAAACTGTCAGGCTCTGGGAAAGGGGCAGATGGCTCATCGTGTCTTAGTTTTCTGATAGTTGGAGGAGGTAATATATGTGAAGTGTTAGAGCAGCTCCAGGCCTAGAGCATGTGCTCAGGAAGGGTTAGCAGTGCTGTGGGATTGAAGTCACATGGGATCATTCTAGGAGCAGCACAGATGACCAATTAAAGACAAAGTCGGGGTGGGAATCACATGGATTGGGGCTTCCAGGCAGCATTAAAGAGTAAGGATCTGCGTCTGAGTTACGTTTGTTGCTTAGGTGCTCTCCAGTCATCATGACTCCAGCTGCTGAATTTAGTAGTTGAAGTAGGTGGAGAGCATAGCACAGGTCACTGTGAAGTAGAGAACAGGTTAAAATCGCGTGGCTTTTGAGGAATGCAGCAGTGTGGTTTATCTGAGTGCTCTCTCTCTTCTCCCTCTGTGATAGCTCAAGCTGTGAGCCCTGCCCTAGCCATGCACGGAGGCTCAAGGGAGTGATTTATGGAGGGGCTTGATGGAGGATTTCAGGAGTAATGTTGGCAGCAGGCTGGAATGCGCCTGAAGGATTATGTAGTAGACTTTTTAAAATGCTTTTGAGCATTTGCAAGCCCGATATATGAAGAATGACTTCTGGTAAGCTCTTGAGAATAGTTCTCCTGCTTGTTGAGGGAAACGGAATTTGGATGGAGCAGAAGAGGCTTGTGCTGTGTTGGTGGTGGAGCAGATACAGCCGCTCAGAGGCCTCAGTGTTAGTTAGGAGGATCTGTTTGCTCTAACAGGCTTCATTTTTAAAATGTCTCTTCTCGGACATATGTATCTGTTCAAGCACAGATCGAGAATGAATTCCTTGAGAACAAGCTGGGCAGGTGGAGGGAGGGTATAAACAAGAGATAACCCACATCATCTTCAGGATTAAAAGAGATAACTCACCTTTGGCAAACTTTTAAATATATACTAAGTGCTTTTCTTTCCCTAAAAAATAGAAGAGGCATTTCTTTTTTAAGCCAGTAAAATATTAGGAGATCATTTGCTAGGGAGGAAAGAATGGAATTGCTTAGTGTCCTATATGATAAAGAGCTAACATGCTAAATAGACCGGACAGAACTTTCTGGAACAACCTTCTGTAATGACCAGTGGGCGGGGCCACAAGGGCCAAGCTCTTTGCACGAATTTCATGCACCAGGCCTCTAGTGATTCTATAAATTACCCTAATGTCATAGGTAGATTTTTCCCAGTTCTGTAGAAAGATAGCAGTGTATGCAATCGCTGGCACGGGGTTGAATGTGGGTAGTCTTTTCTGATTTTAGGTCATTGGTGTTTATTGTAGGTCCTTTCATTTGTTTTCATCACACTAGGGTCAGGGAAAGTTGTTATAACTAAGTTGTAAGCTCTGGAAGGGCAAGGGTTGTATCTTTACCTCATGGTGGCTGGCACATGATAGACATGTTGTGGACATTTGCCAAATGAAGGAAGACAGTATTAGTAAATGGGTCTCTGGCCTGAAGCCTTTCTCCATCAGCTGCTGTCCAGGTGACCTAGGCACTGCCATGGTCCTTGGCACTGCTTTGTAAGAGACCCTCAAGGCTGGCATGGTTCCTTCACACCTTCTTCCTATGCCCACTTTTGCAAGGATTGAAGGCCTTACTTACCCAGTGCCTGGTTCCCATGTACGGTGTGCCTTTAGCTTAGAAAGCTCTTAAGTGCTCTCTTCCCAATCAGAACTGCATTTTGATCATTGCTACTGGAGATCAGGTGTCCATTCTGGGTCTGGACTCTTAGGCTCAGAGGAAGAAGCAGAGCTAGAAGCAGCACCAGAAGTCATTCTTCTTTCTGCTCCAATGGAAGCAGACTGGGCCGGGGGAGAAACACTTGGGGACACAGGCCAGGGTCCTCCTTTCAAAAGTTACTGAAACTGGCCCTAGCTGGTTTGGCTCAGTGGATGGAGCATCGGCCTGCGGACTAAAGGGTCCCTCCCAGGTTTGATTCCGGTCAAGGGCACATGCCTGGGTTGCAAGCTCAACCCCCCAGTAGGGGGCCTGCAGGAGGCAACCGATCAATGATTCTCTCTCATCATTGATGTTTCTATTTCTCTCTTCCTCTCCCTTCCTTTCTGAAATCAATAAAAATATATATATTTTAAAAAGTTACTGAAACTGGCTCTGAACATGGTCTCGAGTCAAGCCAACTTAGATTGAAACTCCTGCTCCTCCACTTAATGGAGGGTTGGCCTCTGAGCCTCAGTCTCCTAATCTGAAAAATGGGAATACATGCCTTGAACCAATGTGCTCGGCACTAAAATGAAGTAAATGCTCAGGATCACCTCTTCAGCTGGGTATTGAGCTACATGTGGCAACCTCCAGTCTTTGGAGGTGGCTTTGGTTGCCTTTTTTTTTCTAAAATGATGATCTTCTGAGATGTCCAGATAGTCTGATAAAGCCCTGAGTTACCTAGAGCTGATGCCACATACTCACCATTTATGTTTTCACTCTTTCATGTGAAACCTTATGCTGCTTTATGGCATGGTCATCGTGGGTGGCAGTGCAGTGTCACTGTGGGGCAGAGAGAAATCAGTTGTAATGAAGACAGCAGAGGTGAGAGGGATAGTGTAGAAGAGGTTCCATCCTAAAGGAAGTAAAGTCAGAGCAAGAGCAGCTTGTGGTCCAGTGTCAAGCCCAGGGCCCGGCACCTCGGTGCTTGGTATTTGTGACCTGGGGGGCTCATTGTCCTTGGGAGAAAATCTGAGAATTAAAGCTGTTCTTAGAGTGAATGGAGGCACTTCGTGCTTACTTGGAACCTGCGATTTCTGTACAGATAATTCTCTTAGAATCTGCATGAGTATTTTTCTCTTTCAGTCTAAAGAAACTCGAGAGATCCTACATTTCCACTATACCACGTGGCCTGACTTCGGAGTCCCCGAATCGCCAGCCTCATTCCTGAACTTTCTTTTCAAAGTCCGAGAGTCGGGGTCACTCAACCGGGAGCACGGCCCAGTCGTGGTGCACTGCAGTGCCGGCATCGGCAGGTCGGGGACCTTCTGTCTTGCTGACACCTGTCTCTTGCTGGTAAGGAGGCCCTTGAAGAACCCAGGAAAAGAAGGGACCATTTGTAAACTCTCCTCTGGCCTGGACAGCTTCTCTGTAATGTCTCTGCAGTCAACAATCTTTGATCTTCCCTTTGTAACAACTTCCCTTCCATAAAAATAGCTTTACCCCAAATAGCTTGGTTCAGAGGGATATTCTTCATTTTAAAGTGAAATCCGAGAAGATCCAAAGAATCCCCTGTCTCTCATTCTTTCCCACCTGCTCACATGGTCCCAATGTTGCTGCACTGGCTCCCATTTTCTAGACTCCTGCCTTCCCTGCTGTGATTTTTTTCTGAGTGGGCACTAGAGAGTTGGGCTGGCTGAGTTGTGTCTCCTATCTGGCTTTTAGATGGACAAAAGGAAAGACCCTTCTTCTGTTGATATCAAGAAAGTTCTGTTAGAAATGAGGAAGTTTCGGATGGGACTGATCCAGACAGCAGACCAGCTCCGTTTCTCCTATCTAGCTGTGATCGAAGGTGCCAAATTCATCATGGGAGACTCTTCAGTGCAGGTCAGCATTGCTTTTGCTTTCATTGATTTCCAGTTTTTGTCTGTGAAGAAGGGAGCTGTCCATTGTAAAAATTCACACACTGTCATCTTCAAGTGTATGTCTAGAGACCTGAGAAGCAGAGATAACTCCTCACCAAGCCATCACCTCTGCTCACTGAAAGGGGACAGATTTCCTGCAGAGCAGACAGGCACAAACACTGATGGGGCTCCATTTGCTGCTTTTTCCAGGAGCAATGGAAGGAGCTCTCCCACGAGGACCTGGAGCCCCCACCTGAGCATGTCCCACCCCCTCCCCGACCACCCAAACGAATCCTGGAGCCACACAATGGGAAATGCAGGGAGTTCTTCCCAAACCACCAGTGGATAAAGGATGAGTCCGAGGAGGATAAAGAAGATGGCCCCATCAAGGAAGAAACCAGAACCCCCTTAAGTGTCCCCTGTAACATAGAAAGGTAATGTGAGATGGTCCTGGCTTATTGGGGGTGAGGAGAAATGACCTTCTGTTTCAGAAACCCTGTGGATGCAGCCTCCTGTTGGCACACAGTGCTTCTATGGCCTTACGGAATGGAGCCCCTGGACTGTCCTGCTCCTCCCCTGGCTGGAGGAGTCCAGGTACAGGGGCACTGGTTGGCCCTGGGAAGTGACCAACTTCAGTGGGGTGCTAGCACCACCTTGTGGTGCCGGTCGGTATCAGGAGTCCAGTGTGCTGGGCATCCTGCCCAGTGATGACAGTCCTCTCCCCCAGGCTTCCAGCCAGTCCAGAAATGGGATGTCCATGCTTGACCATGTACCTTCAGCCCCCAAAATGGTCTTTTTGGGAACTTAAACTTGGTAATCTTGACCCAAGTGGATTGCCATTTTGCTTCCTTATAGTTGTTTATTATTTTCTTAATCCTCACCCATTTATTTTTTCATTTATTTTTTTTTTAAATATATTTGATTTTTTTACAGAGAGGAAGGGAGAGGGATAGAGAGCCAGAAACATCGATGAGAGAGAAACATCGATCAGCTGCCTCCTGCACACTCCCCACCAGGGATGTGCCCACAACCAAGGTACATGCCCTTGACCGGAATCGAAGCTGGGACCCTTCAGTCCGCAGGCCGATGCTCTATCCACTGAGCCAAACCGGTTAGGGCCATTTATTTTTTTTTTTAAAGGGAATGAAAGGGAGGCGGGGGAGAGAGAGAGAAATATCAGTGTGAGAGAGACACATCAATTGGTTGATTCCCATTGTTGCCCCAACTGGGGCCAGGGATTGAACCTGCAGCCAAGGTACATGGCCTTGACTGGGAATTGAACCTGCGACCCTTTGGTCTGCCGGCTGACATGCTAACTATTGAGCCAAACCGGCAGGGCTGCTTCCCTTATAGTTTAACAAAGGTTATCCTGTCCTACTGATGCATGTGAAATACTGAGATAACTAGAATATAGCTCTTGGTCTATGATCTAGACCCTGTTGTTGGGAAGGGGACAGGAAATTGTAGTGGGAGCCTGTGGTCAGTGATGTGATGGGTGCATGCGGAGAAGAGGCACTCAGCCTTCCCTGAGTGTCAAGGAAGGCTGCCTGTAAGAGATGGCACAGTGGAAACTAAGAAGAACGAATGGGAGTTAGCTCCAGCCTGAATCTAGGGAGGCAGTGTCCTTGGTACCTGCTGTTTTGGTGGGTAATTTAAGATGAGTGCACATTTTTACCCAGAATTTGTGTGCTTCTAGAAAATTAGCCTACAGTAGTTCTCAAACAAATGTGCAAAGATTGTATAGGAAGAAGTGTTTGTTGTGGCATCATTTCTAATGGGGAGAAATTAGAGATGAGTCAATTATATACCCATGGATTAGGTAAATCCTCTTTCTCCCTTTGTCGGGATGCTCTGCAGCTCTGAAAGAATGGAACTGGCGGTTCTTATGTGGCTGGACATTGGAGTGGCAGTATCCAAGAAAGCGAGTGACCATGTGTACCCCACAATCAATATCTCACCCAGGCACCAGTTCTGACTCATGGACCTGAGTCTGCAGGTCCTTCATGCACTGGTCCTTATCACAGAAACACCACACTTGGTTCTGGAGAGAAACTTGTCCCGTGGGCCTCCCAGAGCAGGTGCCTTGTGATGTGCTGAGTATCACTGACCTCAGGGACGCTGTGCCCGGTTTCCCAGGGCCTCTGTTGACATTCTCAGGGTGGGCCAGTGTGCTCCGTCTGGGGGCTCACAAAGGGCCAAGGATGAGAGAAACAGGCTGCAAATGACTTACGTCGCATTTGTGTTCTGTTATTTGTGGAGAGAGCAGTGCCTTTCACATTCTGTGTATGAAGATGCTGTGTAGGGAAATAGGGAATTTGGGAAGCTAAAAGCCAGAGGGCTCCAGAAAAAATTGTAGTTGTACCAAGAACATAAGTGCTGCTGGGTACCTGTGGGAGCCCACATGCCCATAGACCTCTGTGCTGCGCCAGGGCCGGGTAGGAGTGGCGCTGCAACCAAGTGCTCCTGCAGCCTCCTCCTGTCTCCCGGGAAGGTGGTGCTTCAGGTGGTTTTGTCAGGCACAAGATGCTGCTGGGATGGGAAGGCCCTGGATGCATGTGTGAGGCCGAATTTCTGTGGCCCGGGCCTCCTTGATGGAGGCAAGGGTGGAAAGGAGAGGCCTGGAGCAGGAGGGGAGTGGAGAAGAGGGGCCTGGCTTCTCATGGGCCCATGAGCCTCTCCTGACAGCCCTGGAGCAAGAACACTGCACTCTGCCCCCCCGGGTCACCATCATGAAGGCAGCTAGATGACTGGCTGCACAAGGAGGCCCGGGAAAGGGTCCCCCTGGCAGGATTGGATTAGTGCTTGGGATTCAGGCCTGGGAGAGGTGGGCAGAGGGTCAGTGGGAATGTGTGGGGTCTTCATGTCAACAGCGACAAAGGCCCTGTGGATCAGCGTCTATCAGGGTGTCCTGAGAGAGTGTGGAAGCACGTGGGCCACACCGTTGCCTTCCCTGATCTGAATGGGAACATTCTCCCGTACAGCAGACTCCAGGGCAAAGTTAGCACTTGTCTTGACGCCAGTGGCTGTACTTCTCAGACCTTTCCCCACCCTCCATTACTAAGGAGTCCATAGTTCTCCTGAGCCCTGGCCTGGCTCTGAGGACCACCTGAACCCCTGGGAGGAGGCAGTGATAAGTGGTCCCTAGACCCATGTCAGCAACACTAATCTCTGTCTGTATACATGCGACTCACGTTTTCCTAGCATTCCCTCCCCCTCCCCCATAATAGTGTCTTTGCCATTGTTTTCCCGAGTGAGTAACCCATCTCTGCCCCTCTCATTCCTCAGCACGAGTCAAGACACTGAAGTCAGAAGGCGGGTCGTGGGGGCAGGTCCTACCCAGGAGGAGCCGTCGCCACCCCAGGAGGAGCAGGACCAGGCGCTGACTCACTGGAAGCCCTTTCTGGTCAACATGTGCATGGCCACGGTCCTCACGGCTGGCGCGTACCTCTGCTACAGGGTATGTTTTCACTGACGGACGTGCTGGTGAGGCCATGTGTACAGAAAGCGCTGGCCAACAGCCTGGCGTGAGCATTCAGTGCTGTGGAAGGATCTGAGCCAGTCTCAGAGGAAACAGATCAAAGGTTTAAAGTCTGGAACCGTGAAGGGCTAACGAGAATTGAGGACTGATGCACTGGGGTTTTAGGGAGCCCTGTGGTCCCAAGAATACAAGTGTCTAATCTCAGGGCCTTTACCTATTCAGGAGTAAGTAGAGAAAATGCCAAATACATCTCTTTCTCTCTTTTTTTTCTTTTTTTTCATTTGTTTTTGGGGGGAAAATAGAGTTACAACACATTGTTGTTTTTAACCTTTATAAAAAGCAGCTTTTTGTTATTTCTGCGGGGGAACAGACTAGGCGCTTATGAAACTTTCTTATACCCTCAGCTGGTGTAGCCCGATACACAGTGTCTGTTGGATTTCCCAGGGAAAGGCTCCCACACTTTGAGGAATGAGAGTCCTCTGCAGAAGAGGGCCTAAGGTATAGGACGCTGACTTGCTCAGTCACTTCCTCGGCTGTGCGCAGAGCTTGGCCCGGTCCTGCCAGCTTTCCCACTTAAGAAGAAAAACAACAAAAGGCCGTCTGTAGGCATTAAACCTGGCTTGTGCTTTTGCTCAGGGTGTCCCCACTGGTTTTCCCTCATTCGTGTCTCCATTGATCCCTTGTAGCAGCCATCTTGCTCATGTCCTGCCCTCAGCACCCATCCAAAAACGGGGTTCCTTGAGAACCCTGCCTCAGGGTCAGAGGTCACCACAGGGTGGGTGGCCACCGGCTTTTTACCCTGCCATTGAGATCCAGAAGGAGCAGTTTCCACTTGATTTGGACTGTAAACGCCATTTCAGTAGACACCCACACCTGAGAAGTGAGTTGCTGTTAAAGCAAGGGGAAGGGAGGATTAGCTTCAAAACTCTGGTCATGGAAATAACCTCACAAGACTTTTATCATTTAAAAATTTTACCTCTTTTCAGGTGACCATCTTTGAGTGTATCAGATGGTTTAGTAACACACAGTTTTTCCTTAGGGATGATGTTTGGAAGGGGTGGGAGTGGCCAGGTAGTGGCCAGGGTTTGGGGGTGGCCAGGTAGTGCCAAGTCTGCAGCTGGGCGGGTCTGGGCTCAACTGAAAATGTTTGGTTTCATTCCAGTTCCAGTTCAACAGCAACACATAATCTGACCCACCTCCACCCCACTGCCCGCTCCGCTCACAGAGCCCGCACCTGACTAGCAGGCAACGTGGTAGGTAAGGGCCGACGCACAGCGTGGCCAGTTTGACGGGGCAGATGTTTGCCCTGCACTGAAACTACCCTCCCCAGCTGTTGGTAGTTTGAAACTACCCCTTTCCTTTTACTTCCCCCCCTCCCCTTCTTTATGTACCAAATCCACAACCTGTCTTTTTGAGGAGAGCAGAAGAGGGTCCCATGCTGGTGGCACAGAGGAAGGTGGCCTGTGCAGGGCGGCACACGGCTTTTCCCGGGAGATTCTGCGGAGACTGCGTGTTGTGAGCCTCTCCACTCCATATTTATTTTTTATTTTTCCCCAGAGGCATCCATAGTGCACTAGCATTTTCTTAAACCAATAATGTATTAAAACGTTTTGATGTCAGCCTTGCATGAAAGGCTTTCTCAAAAAGTACAATAATAAACCCTCAGGTAGTGCTGAGAACGTATGACTTTGCCATGAGCCCACTGTGTCAGAGGAAGGAGGACAGCTGTGAGCAGTGGGTATTTCATGACACTGTGGGTAATGTGAGAGGAGGTTTGGCATTTGTTTATAGAGCAGTGGGGTAATATATAACGAACACTTGGATATTTAACATACATGACAGGAGATGACTGTCCGGTTATTCCCCGCCCCAGTTTTATCTACTAGAACTTTATTCTCCATCACCGCTTTCCCCGTGGGTATTAGAATGCATGTTCAGTCTTGTGTCCTGATCAAATACCACGTGCTTGAAATACTTAGATCTCTGCTTATAAAGTGTCCTCGTGTATAAGTCAAATTTCTCCTTGCATGATCAGATCATTACGTGCTGTGGTTCCTAAGACTGTTGCTGAACTATTTGCTGTTCAGCACTGGAGGGATGTTTCCAGTAACAGATACTGGCCTAATTCCTGGCATGAAACTCTGGTGACTTCCTGGTGAGGTCCGGCTGGGTCCCACTGTAACTCAAACATTCCAAGGAGATGGGAAGCCATAGTCACACCTCACGCTCTGGACGTTTAGGCAAGCAGGGTCCCCTGCACACACACCTTTGGGATCAGCCTCCACTATCCCAAGTGCACACTCTTCTTGAGAAGACTGTGATTTTGAACCAAGGCAACTGTTGGAAACCACACTTGAAGCAACCTGGATGATGATGGTCCCTTGGAGTCAGCCGGCTGCTGTCTCAGTCGGGAGGGCCTTGCTGAGAGAGGCCTGTCTGCCCCTGCCCTTGAACCCTGGGGACTGATGGTGCTCACGACTCTTCTTGTGAGGGGAACTTAAGACCTCCACATTAAGTGGCTTTTTTAACAAGAAAAAAAGGCAGCTGTAGCTCATGAGCTGCTCTTTTGCCAGCATTTTCACATTTTGCCTTTCACGTGTCAGAAGCCCGTGCAGAGAAACTCTGTGGTGGGAACATTTGAGACATCGCCCCGCAGAGCCTTGTGAGGTGTGGGTGAGGCCGAGGCGCCAGGCTGTGAGCATTCTGAGTTGGGCTTATTGTTTTTGAAGTCCTGTATATGTATGTAGTAGTTTGAGTGTGTATATATAGTAGCATTTCAAAATGGATATAATGGTTTAACCTATCTTTGGAAAACAGATGGCTCTCCATCTTGTTACACGTATGTTAGAGAAGTAGCGAGCTGCTCTGCTATATGCCTTAAACCAATATTTACTCAGCAGGTCATTATTTTTTACAATGGCCATGGAATAAACCATTTTTAAAAAAATAAAAACAAACAAAAAAAGCGAGGTGTTTTGGTATAATACCTTTTCAGGTGTGTGTATACGTGGATGCATGATGGGGTGGGGCGGGGGGTGCGTCTCAGGGTCTTCTGTGATTTCACAGAACTGTCAAACTGTACAGTTTTCCAACTTGCCATATAAAAACGATGGGTTTGCATTTTAGTTGCAACAATAAAAATTTTTTTTCTAAAGAATATCGATTTGGGGTGCTTCCCATTTCTTTGCTTAACTGGGCCTAAACCAGAATGGACAACCCTGCTTTCCATCCCTGCTGATGTGAGGCAGATGCTGTCAAGCAGGGTTACAAGTTTCCACATGTAGGAATCACAAGCCCTCCACGAGGGGCACTGGGGCTTTTCCTGAGCGGGAGTTCATTAAACACGTCCTGCCTCAGCCCATTTCCTTCAGCGGAACCCACCTTTGGAACATAGGGCCCTTGGATAACCTAACAGACTTGCACAAGTTGTTTGAAAAGCTGTTCAGACCTCAAGAACATGCCTCTTAACCAACTGCCTGTGAGACACAGTGGTTGTTACCGCATCTCAGTACCTCCGTACGGTCATGTTCGATGTAGAATTGACGTGGAAATAGTAAGATGTGCAAAATCATGTAGTCTTCCTTTTTTGTACAAAATAAATGTAAATCTCCCCTAAAGTGATTTTTTTGGCTTTTTGTTTTGAAATAATTTCAGACTTGCAAAATGTTGCAAAGGGAGTACAAAGAATTTTCTTACATCCTTCAAGGCTTTCTGACTGTTTCATGGCTGGCTGCTGAGTGAACTGTTTATGCTTGGCCTCCTGGCAGGATCCTAGAAGTGGGAAACCAGCACAGTCATGGTCATGTGACCACACAATACCCACTGTGGCGGCCAGGATGATAGTGCCACACCCACGGTCACTTCAATCTGTTTCACATACCAAAAAATGGCATCTAGGCTTTTATGAAGAGGTGGAATGCCAGTGTGGAAAAAACTAAATTTGTGACTTTGGAACAGAAATCAGATGGGGCCAAAGGCCAGGCAAAGGCCAGACCTCATGGTGTCTGGGTAGGAGAGGGCGTCTGGGAGCCTTAAGAGAATCCTCGGGGCACACTGCCTTTCCTACACTTGCCTGTGTGGGAGAGCCCACTCCACAGCGTCACGCTGGAGCAAGCGCACTCGGGGACAGGAGGGCAGCTTCCCCCAGCGGGATGTTTGAAAAGAACCACTATTTATTTTTTTCAGATAAAATGAAACACCAATAAAAATTGTTCTTTTTAATTGAAATTTCAGAAAGTTCAACATATAAACAAATCAAATAAATACTAAGTTAAATCGAAAAACACAAAATATATATAGGAAACATAAATGAGAATGTTTAAGTTACAGAATTCTCGGATGCCATTGTTGATAGCCACATGCACAACCAGGTTATCTTGACATCATTAACACAAAAGCTCAGGACACATTCGAGTCTTAGACTTAACAGGAAACTAACTTTGTGTCTTTAAAGCAACATGCCGTTCAGTGAACTCTCACACCAACTATGGCGCCTGAAGCAATTTATTTAATAGGCCCTAAGCTGACTTGCTTCAGAAGTTGGACTTCACTTTGTTTAGTGAGGTCACAGTGAATGCTTTTACTGACGTGACACTCGAGGCTTCTGCTTTCCTTTGTGCTCTGGAACATGGTGGAAAGACGGTCCATGGGCAGCGGTCTGTCACCAGGCATTTGGGCCACGGCTCAGGTTAAGAGTTGAATCAGAACCCCTGGCTCTGTACAGTGGAAATGACTGGACCCACTGCACTCTCCTTATCAAGCTCATAGGCCTACCGGCCTCCACAGTCCCAGTATTTGTTGAGCCAGAGGTGCTGAGCCAACTGACTGCAAGGAGACAAGGTCATCTTGGAGCCTTTTATTCCAGGCCTCAACTCCTTCATAGCATGGCTGGCTCTGCATCCTGGGGAACAAATTCTCAAAGCCAAAAGCTGATCGGTTGGTTGAAGTGGCCGGCCTGTGAAGTGCTGTACATCCCTTGTGCTCCTGTACAAAAGTCCCACTTGTTCCCTGGGGCTTTATAACTGATCTGAGACTCGGAGAACTCTGGCCAGCTCACACTTCAGGGCGCACACAGCGTGCCCCCATCCTCAGCTCGGCCCATGTCAGGACTGGGCAGCAGCAAAAACAAAGATGCCAGATTTGAGCTCATCGGCTGAGGTTTTTTTTAAAATATTGTGATTTCAACATCTGCCTCCTGGAAAAAGGCTTCTCTCTGTTCTGAGCAAAGTTTGTCCATTTTCTCAAAAGCGAAGCGGCCTTTTTCACCTGTAATATTAAGATGATTTGTCACCAGATTGTTCCCTGCCTTGGCTGGCCTTAGCAGTTACTGACACTGGGTCTCAGGGGCCAGGGGCATTGGGGTGCACCTAACTGGCCGACTCGTGCCTCGCCCTTATGTCCAAGACAGAGTCTACTGAATCATGTCCCTTGCATCTGCTTTCATTCCCAAGAAACAGACTGACGTTTGAGGAGGAAATAAAGCACTTCTTGCCACCTTAACCATGAAGGAAACTTGCCTTGGCCAAATACAGTTAAACGGTTGCTAGCAATGGCCATCCCATGAGCTAATTTTCCTCTTTTGAGAGCTGGCCGTGGCTGCTCCAGCACAACCTTGCTAAGGACCCGGGGACCCCGCTGCACATAACGATTGATGGCGCACTTTACCGAATGACAGCGTGGCTTCCCGGGCTGCCGCTCGCACAGCCTCCAGGTCAGATTGGCACAGGCCAGCAATCTGATCAATGCTTTCGATGCCCTGCTTGGGAAAAAGATCCATTAGGAGACTTTTTTATTATTACTGCTTTCAGAGAAGAAGGAAGAGGGGGAGAGAGAGAGAAACATCAGTGATGAGAGAGAATCATTGATGGGCTGCCTCCTGCCCGCCCCCTACTGGGGATCGAGCCCACAACTTGGGCATGTGCCCTGATCAGGAATCGAACCGTGACCTCCTGGTCAATAGGTCGACGCTCAACCACTGAGCCATGCTGCTAAGGCCATTAGGAGACATTTTAGGTAGCAGGTAGAATCCACTTGTAGAAGCCTGCAGGACCAGCCCTAGCATGGTCTGGAGCCCGATTTTTTTCCTGAAGGCTCTGGGCTGCTCTAGTGGGCTCAGGTTCATCCAAAGCACCAATGCAAGGGTCTCATTTTTCAGTACTGACACCTGCCAGCAAATAGGCCACTAGCATTGATGTATGGACAGCTGGCAGGCCCATCTTGAAAATGAGAAGATCTGATACCCTCTAGACCTTGCTACCTCCTCCCTGGTCTCCCAACCATTCCCTCCAGGTCAGACTAGGAGAGGGGCAGTCAGGGGCCCCAATTCGGGACCCCTGACCCCAGGCTGCTCTCCAGGGCCAAGGAACAGAGTGCACTTCAGCACCCTGTACTGGGAACCCTGGCTGGCTATTTGATTATAACCAAACCGTTCCAGAGTGAATGGGGTGTTTAATCTGTGCTGGACTATTTTTCACCTAGTAAATTGGCAATTGTTTTTTTAAATGAGAATTCTAGATGCAGTGAGGTTGAAGCTTTATGCACAAAAATGCTTATAATGACATTATTTATAATAAATGGATAATGAACCTAAAATATCTACAAGAAGAGTAGGGGAGTAGGTTAAATTAAGGTGTAACTTTGATAGATCCTTTATAAAAAATTCCAAGGCATTACCAGTCTAACTCAAAAAGTTATTATTTTGCCGAAACCGGTTTGGCTCAGTGGATGGAGCGTCGGCCTGCGGACTGGAGGGTCCCAGGTTCGATTCCGGTCAGGGGCATGTACCTGGGTTGCGGGCACATCCCCAGTGGGAGATGTGCAGGAGGCAGCTGATCGATGTTTCTCTCTCATCGATGTTTCTAACTCTCTATCTCTCTCCCTTTCTCTCTGTAAAAAATCAATAAAATATATTTAAAAAAAAAAAAAAAAATTCCAAGGCATTACCAGTCTAACTCAAAAAGTTATTATTTTGTTCACGGTTTTTAAACTATAATATCAATTTTCAGTGCCCACACATGCCCACAAACAAAAAGGAAGTATACCAAAATGTCGGTAGTTTCCTCTGTTAGGATGATGGGTAATGTACATATGTTTTACACTCTTTGTCCTCTACAATGAGCTTTTAGACATTTTTAATCGATATTAAAGCAGATGATGCAGGAGTTCAGAAGTGAATTTCTGGAGCCAGCTGCTCTTCATCAGAGACAAAGCAGATGCTCACGGCTGGTGGGGCTGCCGGCTGCTCCTCTCAGGCCAGCTCTGAAGCTCCCTTTTTGCCAGCAGTGATTTTTATTATTACTATTATCTTTTTGGTCCTGGTGGAAAAGTTTTGAACTAACTTTAACCACAAGCAGGCTTCTCCGTCACCGTGAGGACAGGTTGCACTCACCCGGAGCTGTTTCAGTGCCATGCATGCAGCTTGCTGGAGTTTCGCATCATTCTCGGTCAGGGCGTTGGTGTAGAAAAGCAAAGCCTGGGGAATGAGGCTGCTGTGAATGAAGGGGGGAGGGTGCCGGAAGCACAGTCCACGGTGCCCACGGCTGGTCCCCCAGTTGCTGCCAGTAAGTCAAGCCCTTACCTTTTTCTAAACAAAAATCAGGCCATGATCCATTAATCTTTGGGCCAGGTGCAAAGTCCCGAGATGTATACTACAGTACTGAGCTTCTCTCTAAAAACACTGGTCTGGTGGCAGTCGAGTGCAGAAAGCTCTTTTTGTCTAATCTCTATGAAATGCATTCCCGAACTGCTGTCTAGAGGAAATGCTAACTCAGGGTCGGATGTTCGGCCGGGACAACAGAACTGGACACACAGACGGAAAAGCATCTCCCCTCCCTCACCCTCTTCCAGTCACAGCTCTGCCCCTGCCCCCTTGGTCACATGACCATGGCCAAGTCACTTCCTCTGGAAAATAAAGTTGGCACTTGCTTCACAAAATTGTTGTAAGCACATAGGGATGAGCCTGAGGCTACAGTAAGGCCCGAATATTGCCCTCCTCGGGGGCTGATATCTTAAATCTAGAATAGTCACAGGTCCAGGAACCTAAAAGGCATAGGGGTCCAATTTCTTGGTTTTCAAAAAGTGGACTGAACACAACCAGCCAGCTACACATTAATTGCAAGTAAATGAGGATGACCACTGGAATTCTAAGAAACATGCGCGTGACATCGCAAAGACCAAATAGATAACGTTGCTTTAGAAACACTGAGGTGAGGGAGGGGGGTGGCATGTGGTTCCTCCCAGGCCTGGTGCTGCCGATGGCGACGGCGTGAGGAGACCTGTGTGCATGTTTGGAGCATCCCTAAGTCCAAATACCCTGCGGCAAGTGCAGCCCCCGTCACACACACCTTGGTCTTTTCCGAGAGAGAGCCTCCCTTCCTCCACCTCCCACACCTACGGCCAGGAGGCTGCCACCTCCCCTCATACATACCTTTTCCCGAAAGCTCTTGTTCTTGGCTGCGCTGGCCAGAGACGCGCTGGCCGCCCTGCACACCTTGGGAGGCCCGTCCAGCTGGAGCAGGGCCCAGGCCCTTAAGGTCTGGGGCAGGGGCTGGAGCTGGCCCAGCCGCTTCCCCTGCAACTTCCTGACGGCCTTGGCCTGCCCCGTGCGCTGCAGCTCCTCCACGAGGGTTACTGGAAGAGACGGAAAAGTGAGCCCGGGGTCCCCTCTGATGGTGGCTGGGCTGTCCCGCTGCAGGTTGGTTTGGCCATGGCATTAGCCATGGAGAAGCAAGTCCCAGATCAAGCCCATGTGGTCACCAAGCCCATCTGGACTGGTTTGAGCAGGGCCTCCTGGAACCTCTAGGAAGGCTTTCTAGCAAGGGATCCAGTCCGCCCTGAAAACCGATACAGCCCCAGCCCAGACTTCAGGGTCGCAGACCAGTCGAGCTTCCTATCATAGACAGCTGTGACTTCTGCTCTATGCTGAGAGAAGCCTTCTTCCCCTAGAGCTAATCTCATCACAGGGGCTGAATGCGGGGTCTCATTAAATTGGGGTTCTTAAAAGAACAGCTGGAGGGGAAAGATGCAGTGGTTCTTCAAAGCTGGCTTCTGGGAGCTGGGACAGGGGCCTCCACGGCTGGAGTCCCTTTGCTGTTGCACGTGGCTGTGAGGCCACCGGTCACGCTCCCAGCCCCTACCTTCCTTGGTGAGCTGGGCAAAGTGCTTCTCCAGGTCCGAGACGCTCTGCCTCTGCAGGTAACTGTGAAACTGGAACCAGGTGACAGTCTGCTCTTCGGGGAGGCCAGCTCCGGGGAGCAGCCCGCTGCAGCTGACCACCTGCTCCAGGAGCCTGCGGCACGCTGGCAAGGAGACACAGCACGGGGCTGTGAGACACAGAGACCTCGCCCCCTAGGAGCTTCTTAGCTGGCGAGGCCAGGTCAGCTTAAAGCAGTGGTTCTCAACCTTCTGGCCCTTTAAATACAGTTCCTCATGTTGTGACCCAACCATAAAATTATTTTCGTTGCTACCTCATAACTGTAATGTTGCTACTGTTTTGCTACTGTTATGAATCGTAATGTCACAGGTCCAGGAACCTAAAAGGCATAGGGGTCCAATTTCTTGGTTTGATGTGCAGGATGGTCTTAGGCGACCCCTGTGAAAGGATCATTCGACCGCCAAAGGGGTCACGACCCACAGGTTGAGAACCGCTGGCTTAAAGGCTTTCTGAGGGCATGTGGGTGGGTGTCCCTCCCTGCACCGCCTGTGCCCGGGGAAGGAGGGGGCTCCAGGTGGGGTCACACGCAGGCCCGGGTGTGGGTGGTCTTGGGGGCACCCCATGGCTGGGGCCAGGACTGGGAATATGCAGGCAACTGAGCAGCCCAGGTCGGGGTCAGAGCTGCTGACAGTCGGCCAGCTTCTGGAGTATGAGTGTCCCCTCCAGCTGTGAGCAGGAAATGCGGTGCCTTCTGAGCCCACCCTGCAGGGCAGACAAAGGCTTGCCTACCTTCCATGAAGGTTCTTTCTTAACCCTTCAAGGTTCTGGTGGAAGCCATGGACCCTGCCCCCAGGAAAAGGCCCAGCCCACTAACTGCAGGCTCACAGGCCCCTCGTTCTCCCCAGCAGAAGGAGGTGTTTGCAGTCATGCTGATGCCATGAAGACACTCAGGGCAGCTAGCATGGTGGTGAGGCCCGCTGTGGCATCACTGAAGCCCGGAGACGGGGGGCAGCGTCTCAGGGGGACAGGGAGTTACCTATTTCCAGTTGTCCCGGGTACTTGCCCCGGATTCTGTGCAGGAACGTCTTCTTGAGCTGGTTCAGGAGCGTGGGGGCGGGGCAGGCCAGGACCCCGCCGGGCTCTGTGCACCCCCTCCACAGCCTCAGGCAGCCCTTCCTCCGTGCGGCCTGCGGAAGGACTGAGAGCCCAGGCTCAGACCCGACTGTGCGGAAGAGCGAGCACAGGGCCCGAAGGTTTCCCTCCACTGGGACTTGAGGTCGGGAGCTGAGGGGTGACATGCAGTGTCCTTTTCCCACACTCCACAGTGACAGAGAGAAGACAAGCAGCTTCAGCTCTCAGCACCTCACCCGGGTCACCACCCACAGTCCTCACAGCAGCCCGGGTGACTCCTGTCACCAGCCTGTCCTCATGGACAAGGGGAGGCCCCGGGGCAGAGGCCCAACTGGGGTCACAGCTGCTGTTTACGTGAGCGCATGCTGTGCGCCTGGAGTGTGTCCTGAGGATTCCTTCACCGACCCATTGCCCAGATGGGGAAGTTGAGGCTCAGAGGCCCAGAGTCACCCAGCTGACCACAGAGCGGGTGCCTCTTTCTCCAAGGCTGTGTGGCCTCCCTTCCCACCCCCACAGTGTCTCTGAGCCCAGTCCAGCCAGACACCCCGGGCTCCGGTTAACTGGACGTCAGGAAGGGAGACGAGCTCGCCTGCCCTCAAAGCCTGTCCCTGTGCGCCATTCACATGAGCAGCCGGTGGTGGGCAGTTACTTACTCTCTTCAACAGACGTTGCCTCTCTGACCTTCTCAAAATCCAGCATAGACAGAGTCTCCAGAACCTGCTTTTGCTGTGCAGCTTCTTCCAGAAGGCTCTCCTGGACCATCCTTGACAGATTAGGGGAGGCCAGTTTCTGGGAAGCAACCCACATGCTCCAGGTTAGCACGGACACGCCCTCTGATGTCAGTCGTCACGACCGTGGCCCTCACCGGCCCGGGCCCATCCTTTCTACCCCTGTGGTAGCTCCTTGGCTGTCCCCTGGGAGTGCCCCCTCCACCACAGTGGCTGAGACACAGGGTCCAACTGGAGCTGCCACGGGCGGCCTTTGCCACCAGCAGGGACCAGCCTGCCTGAGAGCAAAGCCAACCCACACAAGAAAGCAGAGCTGAGAGGGAGAGGCCCAGGCATGATGGCATCTGAAACCCTGGATCCAGCCGGGCCTGAAGCCCACCTCTGGGCTGGTCAATTCTTTGAGCCAATGGATTTTCTCTTTGGGTTGAGCCAGTTTGGATTGGAGTTCTGGCTTCTGCGACTGAAGGCGTCCCAGCCACTGCCTTTGAGTCAGGGCTTGGGCTGCATAAGAACCACATGACTCCCCCAGGCCTGGCCTGATGCTTCCCCAGGGGAACCTTCTCAATCTCAATGGCTCTCAAGGTGCGGGCCTCTGGTCTCTGCACCGTGCTCCCTGCCACCGTCAAGGTCAGCCCTTTGCAGAGAACTCCCAACCCCTCCCGGGCCCCCGGGCCAGTCCCTCCCTTTCCATCTCACCCCCCTGGCCCCGGGTCCCTTAGCACCTCACCCCCCTGGCCCCAGGTCCCTTTCCACCTACCCCCCTGGCCCCAGGTCCCTTAGCACCTCACCCCCCTGGCCCCAGGTCCCTTAGCACCTCACCCCCCTGGCCCCAGGTCCCTTAGCACCTCACCCCCCTGCCCCTAGGTCCCTTTCCACCTCACCCCCCTGGCCCCAGGTCCCTTAGCACCTCACCCCCCTGCCCCTAGGTCCCTTTCCATCTCACCCCCCTGGCCCCAGGTCCCTTAGCACCTCACCCCCCTGACCCTAGGTCCCTTTCCACCTCACCCCCCTGGCCCCAGGTCCCTTAGCACCTCACCCCCCTGGCCCCAGGTCCCTTAGCACCTCACCCCCCTGGCCCCAGGCCCCTTAGCACCTTCAGCAGAGCCTTGCAGACTTGGAGGTGGACCGTCAGCAGCGTGTCCAGCTCTGGGGCACCAGTGGTGAGCTCCCGGGATGACTCTCTCAGTGATGGCGGTGGGGGCCGGGTCCTGTCCTTTCTGAGTTGAGTGGAGAACTGGGTGACCATCTGGTTGGGCAGAGGGAACCCGCCCTCCCGGGAGAGCTGTGACCAGGGAGACCAGGGTGCTGTGGGAGCTGAGGGGACGGGAGCAGTGGCTGCCTGTCAGGTCAAGGTTAGAGGTTCTACTGCGTCCTCCATCATTATTTATTTTTTAAGATTCAAAAGAAGCCCATTGCTGGGAACAGAAAGCTCGGGGCTAGGCCGAGCTATTCTCTTCACTCTGGTCCCTGGGGACCTGCTCTGTATCAGGCAGTGGGCATGGGGGGGTGGAGGGAGGGGGCACAAGAAATTATTAGAATAAATACCAATCGGGCAGAGGGAGACGTAGGCAGGAGGCGGATAGAAAGGAAGAAAGGGGCTAAGGCTGGTCACCTGGTCAGTGCTGGCGGGAGCACTCACCGGGGACCCTGGGGACCCCCAAAAAGGGACAGCTCGTGGGGGGCAAAGTCGGCGTTGAGGAAGGCGAAGCTCTCCAGGATGCATTCCATCAGGCTCTCGGCCGAGCTGTGCTCCCGGCGGCCTCCGCGGGGCTGTGAACGGAGCAAGACCTCAGGGCAGCCTTCCCCACTCCCCGCGTCCAGCACCCCCACCCTAACAGCCTCTCCCAAGCGGGCGATGAGCACGGGGCACAGCACTCCCCAAGCAGCCTCCCGAGTGGCATGTGACAAGGTCTGGTGCAAAAGCTCAAGGGAGACAGGTCCTAAAAGTCTCAACTGGTCACAGACACCCACGGGGACAGGGCAAGAGACAGTGGGGGAAGGAGTGGGGGACCATGCAAAGTAGGAGAGGGGGTGCCCTCCCCGGAGAGGCAAGCGGCTGCTCCAGCTGGCACCGCCCGCTTCGGACCCCGGGGCCAGTGTCGCCAGATCGTTCAGTTTTCTAAGGAAAGCTGGAAACCTAGAGTTTGTGGGAAGCTGCCCTGTTTTTAAATATTGACGACTGATTTCAAATTAGTTTTAAAATATGGTGTGAGTCAGGCCAAACGCCTCTCCAGGAGGTTCAACGGCGCCTGCGGATCGCAGGGAGATGTGGACGGAGAGGAGGTTGGAGGCAGCGCTGATGGAGGGGTGCGTGTCGGGGTGCACGTCGGGCTGCCCCTGCTCCGTCCTCGGAGCCTCCTGGTGGCAGGCCTAAGCATGCATGCGTGCGAGCCTCGGTCTCCGCAGCGCTCTATAAAGTCTCCGTGACCCCCGGGATGTGATCTGGAACCATTGCTCCTCGGGGAAAGGCAGAAGCTTCGAGCCTCGGGTCACATTTTCATCAGCGGCCAGTGTGTAACCTTGTTTTATGTGTGTTTCTGTTTAAAGACACCTTACTTCATATGCATTGTTTATTCCTAAATGAATTCAAGCCAACAGCATGTGACTCACACCTAACCCACGTATGTTCTCCGGGAGGCACATCACTGCCATCTGCACTTAGGACACTGGCCAGCACTTCAGCCCTGCCCTGGGGGCCTTTAAAACAGATCAGTCACCAAAAAAAGGACAAAAATATAAAAAATGTAGCACTATAATAGACTGCAAAGGGGACACATCTACAGTGAGGGAGCTGAAACAAGACGGCAACGGCACCTTGTTCAATGAGCACGTCAGTGACTCAAAGTTTCTGTCACTCTGCACCTGACAGAACCATGAACGTTGATTCTGGGGCTATAAATACATTTTTGCAAGTAAATGAATTCACAAAAAGAGAATCCATGAATAATGAGTACGTATGTAAATACACACACATGCACACACACATACATGTGTGTATAATTTCTCTTTAAAAAGTCAACCTAAAAACCATAGCCTGTGGTCATTTTTATTCTACTAACTTGGTTTGCCAAAAAAAGAAGAGTTCCTCAAGATGTTGAAAATTATTGCCCGACGCAGTGTGATTTTAAGATTTTTATGTGAAGTATAATTTCTCAAGTTCCAGGTGACAGGCTGCATGCTTCCTGACAGATTATTCTACCAAAAAGTGCTATTAAGAAATTGAAAAAAAAAAAAAAAAAGGTACTATTCTTTTTCTTCTTGTTTTTTCTTGAAATCTTCAGGCAGGCCCATAGCAGTGGTAAATAGTGAACATTTTTTAAAGTTACTAGATAGGAAATCCACCTTTCTTTCCCCTGCACTGATTTGTGAAGTTGCAGGTGGGGGGGAAGGAATGAAACAGAACAGGTTTTTGTCGGGAGCTGTTAAGCTGTTTCAGCGCCAGTGTGAGTTTTCATAAACTAATTGATGTATAAGTAGGTGCTGGTGTGATACATTTTATTTTACATACATTTAAATTTAAAATCGCATAATCTGCCCAGGCCAGCACCTCTGAGAGCCACGCGAGAACGGCCCCTGGCGTGGGCCCTGTAGGGAGGTTTCGGGGTGGGGGTGCCAGCTCTGGCTGTGAGAATGCCCCACGTTTGGATTTTAGTGTCGAGCGGCTGCCTCACCTGCTCAGGTCAGAAGAGGTGAGATTTGCTGGGTTCTGGCTGGATGTGGAGCAAGTTATTCACTCTGAGCCCCACTTCCTCCTAACCCTCCTTCCAGCCCGGTGAGGGCTCTTGTAATCCCCACTCGACAGACGAGCAAACTGAGGCCCCGAGAGGAGACAGTGCCTACCCTGGTGGTGCAGAGAGCGGGCTGCCGGCCCAGGCCCGGGTGCTACACCCTTGGCAGAGCAGGGCTGCTGCCTCCAACGAGCGGACATACCTTCAGCCGGTCCCTGAAGCTGAGCACCTGGTACTCCAGCTCCTGGAGCCGGGGCTGGGCGGGGTCTGTGCACCTCAGTAAATCCAGGACCTCCTGCAGGGGCCTCTCGAGGGTCACCCCAGGCCCCTCCACTCTGTCCCCGGATTCTCCTTCATCATGGTCTGTCCGGCTGCCCGGCATCGTACGGCTGTGGAGTGGGGAGCCCTGTGGCAGGTTGGGGCTCTCTACTCCCAAATTCCTCCAGCCAGGCCGCTCCACAAATGGGCCTCCTGACAGGTGGACCATCTCTGGCAGGAGGCCCAGGGATGGGGAGTCCTCCCGAGCCTCCTCTTCAGGGGAGGTGTTGGGGCCAATGGCCAAGGGCAGGAACCCCACGTCCGAGGTGGAGGCTGACGTGCTGGTCTCGGTGTCTCGGGGGTCCTCAGAGCTGAAGGAGTCCATCTCGGGCAGCTCCTGACTCCGGCTGCACAGGCCAGGGCCCCGCAGGTCGCTGTCGGACAGGTAGCTGAGGATGGACGTGGCCCTTGGGCTGCCCAGCAGCAAGGCCTGCTGCGCTGGCTGCTGCAGGACAGACTGGAGAGGGGGACACAAGATCAGCCTCACTGGCCACCCCAGGCACCACAGCGAGGCCCCCAGAGGGGCTCCCCCACCACACACTTGTTCTGCATACCCTCGTTCTCCGGGTGACTGAGGTCCACCAAGCGGACTCGGAGGTGCCGGTAGCACCCAGCATCCGCTCTGCTCTTAGCCCCGTCCTCTCTAACTCACACCTTCCAAGCCGCAGAGGCCTCCTTGCTGTTTCTCACACTCTCCAGGTTCATTCACACATTCCCACCTCAGGGCCTTTGCACTGACTGTGCCTCCTGCCAAAGGATGTTCTGCTTTACCCTCCCCCAGACCTCCCCCCCAGTCTTTCTGCCCCTCAGGCAGGCAGTGCTCCCTGAGGGCACAGCCCTCACCTGCCCGGAGAGGAGCCTGGCATATAGTTTTGAATGAGTGAAATGCATGGAGGAAGGAAGGACCTGACACAAATACACCTAAGCACTCATGGCATAGAAACAACAGCAGCTCGTCATGAAATTAAGCATTTGGTGTTTCACGCCCTCATCTGAGGGCCTCGGAGCCCTGCCTCATTCCTCCCTCACACCTCCAGGCTCCAAAAGCATCGCTGGGTTAAAAAGGCTGCTATGGATTAAAAGATAAAGAAAAAGCCCGCATCTGCTCCCAGATGGTATCGAGTGTCTCTAGAAAGGTGTGGAAGAAGTTGACAATGACTCTAAGGTCCCTGGAGGCCAGAGGAAAGACATGTTTTGCTGTATAATATGTCAAGGTGTTACTTACTGGAAATACATTCAGTTTAAAACAAATAAGTTGGAAGCCAAGGCCATGGCCAGGGTGACGGAACCATCCAGAAACCCTTGTTCAAGGTATCCAGGAGAACCAGCCAAGTCTAGCAGCGCCCCAGAATAAAGGGGCCAACGTCAAGGAAGAAAAAGTACCGAAAAACACCCAGATAACCTACATGGAGAGGTGCCAGGCTGCCCAGCCCAGTCCACATGCTGCCCGGGAAGTCACCCCCATCACCAGTCCCAGCAGGACCTCAGCGGCCCTGCCCCGGCGAGGCCCACTCACCAGGTAGTACCTCTCCCGGAAGCTGGGGGTGCTCGGGGGCGTCCAGTTGTACAAGGAGCCCTTCCTGCTGCCCACAGAGAACTTGATTGTGGGGCTGGGTGACACCAGGAAGCTCTCGGTATCAAACGGGCTGGAGGAGAGAGCAGCGGCCAGGGTGTCACTGATGCCCAGAGGACACTCAGCCCGTCCAGGGCCAGGGGACTGAAGGGGAGATGGAGGCCCTACCCGGGGACTCCAGGTCCACATTCTCAACCTTCTTAACCGTCTCTCAGACACCCACCACCCTGCGGGCCCTTAGCCCGATGGCAAGGGGCAGTGACTGGCCACCACTCATGTGAATGGATCCCTCCTTCGTACAGGGCACCATCCCAGAAGGACTTCTGGGTCAGTCCCAGCCACAGGTAAGGCTGGAGCCCAAGGCCTCACTGACCCTGCTTCTGAAGCAAGGAGACTGGGTACAGCCTCCGGCAGGAAGCGACCTGCTCACTCTCATTTGCACAGAGGCCTGGCTAGAGGTGTCTGGGGCCCAGCCCGACCACCAGGGCCCGTGACTCAGGCACTGTGGGCACCTGGTGGGAGATGCGGGCAGAAATGCCCACGAGTGGATGTGGGGAGCCACTGTGTTTGGACAGGTTCAAGCCTCAGACTAATAAGAGGGCACAGTCCTCTCATGGCCACGTGCAAGTCCCAGCTTGGAGGGCAGAGCCATCCCAGCACAATTATAGCCAACAGCTGTAGCTGTAAGCTTGAACCTATGGTCCGAACACGTGGCCCCACGTGCCTGAGTGATGTGGGCTTGACAGAGTTCAGGTGCATGTAGTTGAGTAGGATTGAAACCCAGGAGAATGTTGTAAACATCTTGGTCACGCCCTTACTTTGCCGTGGCATCTGCTATAAAATAAAGACACGGCTTGTGGGCGTCATCGCTGTCTCTCAGAGAAGCAGTGTCCCACTGAGACCCAGCTTTCATTCTCTTGTCTGTCTTTTCTAAGCCTTTCAGCCGCCCCCACTCAGGGTCACCCTCAGCCGTGCTGGCCAGCACAAAGTGGATGCTAGAGTGTGGTCAGGCCACCAGGGGGAGCCACCGAGACTCATCGGGCTCAGGCTCTGGGTGAGCGTCCCTCCAGGTGGGAATTTGGGGCTGGCCCTGGGGAGGGGCAGCAGGGTCAGGAGCCAGGCTGGCCCCTACTCACTTCCACAGCACCTCCAGCTGCAGCTTGATGGTGCCCAGCTCGGTGATGTCCACCACGACCACCTGCGGCCGGGTCGTGAAGAAGTCGGCGATGTCACACGTCACGGTGCCCACCGCCAGGGAGCTCAGGCCACGCAGCTCTGTCACCTGGGGGTGAGGAGTTGTGAGTGGTGGCTGAGCAGAGCCCCCGCAGGCCCTGGCCCTGCCCCTTCCCTTAGGCCCCACCCACCTTGATCTCCAAGTTCTCGTGCAGGGTGGGGATGAAGGCCTTTTCCTCCTCGTCCCAGGTCTGGCTGTCGTCAGACTCGATTCGGCCCTTCAGCTTCCAGCGCTGGCGGCCCAGGCGCATGAGCACCTGTGGGCGAGGGCCATGAAGGGGTGGGTCAGCTGCCCCGGGTGAATACCCCCACTTGCCACCTGCATGGGGGCCCTCCCTGCCAGGTGGGGCCCTGGGACCCCAAGGTCTGGCAGGAACCCCGGAGGGTGGCCATACCTCATACTGGTCTCCTGGACAGAGGCGTGCGTAGCCCACCAAGCCTGGAACACAGAGATGCGCTGAGCTCTGTCCTCCTCTGCCCCTGCTCCGTGGGTCACAGCCCCTCCCCCGCCTGAGTCAGGGAATCAGACTCAGAGATGAGCCATCATGATGGACAGTGGACAGGCCTGGACCCTCACATCCAACTCAGAGAAGGGGCGGGACCTGCCTGAGGTCACATGTCACAGGAGTGCAAGACCAGGGCTGGGCCAAGACCCTTGAATTCTGACCCACACCCTGCCTTGGCAGAAGTCCCAGGGCCCTCAAGAAGCCTGACACCCACTCGAAGGGGATGCTGCCCACCCCCTCAGCCCTGTTACCTTTCATCCTGATGTGGAACTCGCCCAAGTGGACTTCCAGGGCCCCCTCTATGAGCCACATGTCCTGCAAAGCCCCACAGGATGGCTCAGCACCTGCCCCGAGGCGGAGCCGGGGTGGGGGTGAGAGGAGTGGGCTGGAGGGGGGGCGGAGGGCAGGGCGGAGGGGCACACACAGGCCCTGCCAGGCAGAGCTTCCTCAGGGCCCAGAGCACCGCCCCTAATGCGGGGCCTGGCCCCCACTGCCCTCTGGCGCCCCTGCTGGCGGCCCACCTCGGTGCACTCCTGCAGGCTCCGGCCCAGCTCCTGCAGGCTCTCTCTGGAGGCGCGGCTGGGGGGGCACCTGGAGAAGGCCTGCTGCATGTTGGAGGCGCCGTCTCGCAGGCGGCACTGGATGCAGTAGCCCTCGTAGAGCTCGTCCACCTGCGGGGGCACAGGGCGGTGGGTGCTGCCCACGCTGAGGGGCAGGGGCCCAGGCCTGCCGGTCACTCTCACCCTCTGGGAGAGGCTGCCCCTGAGCGAATGCCCCCACCCAGCCCCGATGGTGGTTACACCCTGCACTTGCCCCCGGCTCCCATAGCTCCCACGGGGACAGGAACCATGTCTCATCCACTTGTATCCCAGCCCTCGGCAGCGGCTGGCGTGCGGTCAGTGCACCGTGGAAAGGAGTGCCCTGGACAGGTAACTGCAGCCCTTCCCTCTCCCTGCCCAAGTTTTCAACAGTAAACAGGGAGGTAATATTCTGCCACCCACTGGGCTACTGGAGGGGGCGGGGGGTGTAAAGCAAGATCATGGAAGAATTCATGGACGTCAGACCCTGCAGGACTCGCTGTGAGACCGTGGGCAATGCTTGTCCCTCTCTGAGCGTCCATCTCCCATCTCTATGGTGGGCGCGTGGTCTCAGCCTCCCAGCCTCTCAGATTGAGCTCCAGGTCCTCCCGGGCCCAGCGCCTGCAGTTTCTGCTCCCCCTCGGCTTCTCCAGCCTCCCAGCACCCAGGGACCCCGCCCCGCTCCGAGGGGCCTCCTGGCTCCTGCTGTCTGCTGGAGGCCCAGCAAGAACAACCACCCAGCCCCACCCTGAGATACCCAGCACCAGCTGACCTTGCTGATGTGGAATTCCATCTTCCGAATGTGCCTCTCCACAGAGCGCGTTTGCTTCTCCCAGGAAAAGAGAAGATGCGTTAAAAGTAGCCTGGACCCCCCGCCAGCTCTCGCCACCCTCCTGCAGGCCCTAGCACTGAGAACTGGGCTCCAAGCCAGGCCAGCCCCTCACCACCCTCGAGGAAGGCTCATCGCTGGGCCTCAGTTTCCCCATTTGTAAAATGGGGAGGACCCCAGGTACTTCTTCTAGAGCAGTGGTTCTCAACCTTCTGGCCCTTTCAATACAGCTCCTCATGTTGTGACCCAACCATAAAATTATTTTCGTTGCTACTTCATAACTGTCATGTTGCTACTGTGATGAATCGTAATGTAAATATCTGATATGCAGGATGGTCTCAGGCGACCCCTGTGAAAGGGCCGTTCGACCGCCAAAGGGGTCGCGACCCACAGGTTGAGAACCGCTGCTCTAGAGGCTGACCATGAGAGCAAAGACACTACGCTCACCCAGCCAGGCCTAGCCATAGCCGCCTGTTCCCCACGCGCTGACGGAGGCAGCTTCACTCACCTTGTCGAGGTCGTAATAGAAAGCCTGTGGGGAGCAAAGGGGGAGGGGAAGGTGTCAGGGCTCTGGATGCTCCCCACGATCCATGAGGCTACACCCCGGGGGCGCCTGAGCTCAGAGGATGGAAAGCCAGCAACCACTCCACCCTCTGAGGCCCGTGGTCCAGGCGGAGGAAGAAGAGGGATTAGACTCTGTGCTCCGGGTGAGGCAGTTCTAAGCCTGGCTCTGTTTCCCAGCTCTGTGTCCCAGGCAAGTTACTCAACCTCTCTGAGCCTCTACAGTGGGGCCTTGACTTACGAGTTTAATTCGTTGGGAGACCGAGCTCGTTAACTCAAATTACTCTGTCAACTCAATGCAAAAAATCGGCTGAGAGACAGCTGGTATCTCAAAAAACTCGTTAGTCGGGACACTCGTGAGTCAAGGCCTCACTGTACTTCCTCACATAAACGGGAAAGCCATAGCTACCCCTCAGCTTGCTAAGAGTAAAAGACGCGGTAAGCACTCAACAAAGTGGGGACCGTGGCGATGTGACTGTTTAAGGGGTAACTTCAGCCATGATCAGGAGAATTGAGAGTGGGGAGAGGCAGCCGGCACCACCGGTTCAGGCCTTAGGAAATGACAGACCCAGATGGGTCCATCCATCCACGCCAGGGGCCGGGGTGTCACCAATGAAAGGAATATGTCACCGGGGTGGGCAAACCTCTGCATCCACGGGAGAGGGTGAAGTGGGTGCTGGGAAGCGCTGGGAACCAGGTGGGATCTTGCTAATGCCTCCTTCCTGCATCTGCGTGGCCTGCCCGCCCCCAAGGGCAAGAGCTGACTGAGTGGCCCATCTTTCCCTCCCCAAAGTGGCTGGCACACTCCTGGCCCCCAAGGTCTGCTGAGCCGGAGCTGGGATACAGAGGGGCCACTGTTGATGGAAAGGTTCGCCTCCCCTCCTGTTTTCCAACCCCTGCTCTGCTCTGGCCTGTGCAGGAGGGAGGCTGGAAAGCAGCTGGCAGGTCGCAGGAGCCCACAGGCAGCGAGGCCTCTCGGCTTTTGTTTCTAATCCCATTAGGATAGAAGGGTGGGGAGAGAAGTGGGGGTGGGGACTTCTCAAGACCAGAAAGAAAGAGCCTCCCGCTGGGAGGATGGCGGTCCTGAGGGGTGGAGCCTGACAGCATGAGCTGGTGTACTCAGTGGTTAGAGCACTGGCCTTCGAACCCAAGGGTTGGGTTCAATTCCGGATGCCAGTCAAGGGCATGTACCTAGGTTGCAGGTTTCTCGTCTCAGTTGGGGCATGTGTGGGAGGCAACCAATTGATGTGGCTCTCTCACATCGATGTTTCTCTCCCTCCCTCCCTCCCTCTCCCTCTTTCCCTTCTACTCTCTCTAAAATCAATGGAAAAAATGTCCTCCAGTGAGAAATAAAATATCGGACAGCCAGTAGCATTTACAGTTCCAATAAACAATGAATAATTTTTTAAAGTATAAGTATGTCCCAAAGATGCACAGGACATACTTACACTGAAAAATTATTTGATGATTATCTAAAAATCCTATTTAACTGGGATACTGTTTTTTTTCTCTTGATTGTGTGGGGTGTGTATGTGGGGTGTGTGTGTGTTTCTAAATCTGACTCTGCTAAGGGGGAAATGGTAGCAAAAACCCAGAGCAGATGAGTCTTGGGCTAGAAGGCCCCAGGGCAGCCTCTAGGCCACAGCCCTCAAGGTGGCCGAAACAACAGAGGCGCTGGGCAAGAGGACACGCCGGGGCCTGTGACAGACCCTCGATTCGATGCCCGGCCCAATTTCTTGGCATCACATAAGCCACCTGACTGCAGGGCGCCCAGATGGCCCCGAGCTGTAAGATAGGGCCTCTCAGACGCACACCCCTCACACCCACCTGCCCTCGTTACTGCTAGAACCAAAGAGGGAATGGAGTGGGGCCTCCAATGCGTGAACGCTGCACCCTGTTGGGAGGGGAGGGGGCGCTTCCCACCAGCCCCTGGGGTTAAATTCATCCCAATGTAGAGCAAGTCCCTTCCTCGGGGCTCTGAATTCCCGAGACTTGCACCCGTGATGCAGGCCAGGGGGTGGGGGAGGGCCCATCTTTGAAGCCCAGCCCAGGCTGCCCCAGTGGGAAGGCGGGGAGGGGTCTCACCAGCCGGGAATTCCTGTGGGTGTCCTTGTGGCGTCCTGACAGGTAATCCAGCTCGGCCTGCTGGACGCACAGGTGCTCCCTGCAAGGGAACAAGGGAAAGGAGTTGGAAAAGGAACAAGAAGAGAAAGAAAAACAGGCCGATGACCGGTGTCCCGCAGTGCAGGCAGCCACAGCTGCCATGTGGAGACAGCTGTGGTTCCCTCAGCTGGCTCAGAGGGCAGAGGGCAGAGGGCAGAGCCGCCCCACCCACCCGGAAGCCTGGCCCCACCCGCTGGGCCTCCAGATCCCACACACAGGGGACCACGTGCCCGGCACTGCGAAATATGGGGAGCATCTCTGTTAATCCCCCAAACAACCCCACAAGCAGGTTCTGCTCTGGTTAAACCCATCTTAGAGGTGGGCAAACTGACCCTCAGAGACTGCAGGTAACCCGGCGAGGGTCACACCGCAGGGAAAAGGCAGAACCCAGGTCGGGAATGAGGCATCTCTCTGGAGGACAGTATCTCCCCCGAGTCCCAGGGAGGTCAGCGAGAGCACGCCTCCCTCGCTGACAAGGGCGGTCGCCCTGCTGTCTGCATGCCAGGGCCAAGCCCCAGAGCGGGGCCTGGGAACCCATTCTGGAAAGCACAGAGAAAGCCACAGGCTGGGAGGGATCCTCTCATGTGTTTTCCGGTCAAAGGGTCTGGACAGGAAACCTGATGTTTGGCCTTCAGAGCTGGGGTGGGGCTCCATCCTAGTGTCGCCCGTGACACTACTATCTACAGGTGCTGCTCACCAGAGGCTGGGCTCCTCGGGAAGACGGGATCAATCCTGCCCAGACAATCTCACACGGGGGGTCCAGAAGCTGCCCTGGGAGGTGAGCACCTTGGAGACGGGCGTCCCTCCTCCAGCCCAAACCCAGCTCCCACTGCACCAGCACCGGTGCATCCTGGGAGGAGGGCAAGGGAGGCCTCCTGGGTGGCGTTGCCCTGGAGGCCCACTCCCTGCTTCCTGGCCCTGGGATCCTGGAAACGTTGCTTCCCATCTAAACGAATAACCAGGAGCCCCCTCTGCAGCCTCTTACAGACAAGACCTGACCATGTTCCCCAGGGAGAGGCAGAGAGGAGCAAGCAGGCCAAAGGCCAAAGAGCCCACTGTGTGAAGGCCACAAGCAGCCCGTCCTTACTTGAGGCCTCTCCTCAGCGCTTCGAAGATCTTCCTCACTTGCTGCGTCTTGGCGTCCGGGCAAACAGACCCCTTCCGCAGCGTGCCGTACATCTTGGAGGGTTTGGCAGGTAGGCGAGACCTCACCGAGTTCCTTTGGATGGACTTTCTGTGAGAAGAAATGGGGGCGGGAGGGGGTCAGAGCAGGAGCCTGGACAAAGTCTTTCCCGGGGCAGACACTTGGGGAACAGCGGCCAGAGCTGAGTCCACTCCATTGCCACCAAGCTGCATGGTCTCAGGAAAGTTGCTAAGACTTTCTGGGCCTAAATATCCTCATCTATAAAATAAGGTTTTGGATTTTAGGATTAAAAGAATACTACTGCTACTACTACTAATAATAACCTGATAGGAGAAATTAACTTACAATGAGAAATACAACCAAGCAGCCCAAACTCCAGTGCTCTCTGTTCAGCATGCTTGGTCAATGCAGGCAAAGCTACACTGAAGGCCAATTCATAGTTCTGTGGTGCACCCATGGGTGGGCACCTATTGGCTTTGCCTGCCCAACATCCATCACCTCCCTCTGTGAATAGCACCTCGATTTTCCTTTGGGTAACCTCCCCAGCCCTGCTCTTTATTCATGGAAGGAGGTGGCCTGACAAATCAACACACACATGTGTGTACACACACATGCACATGAACATGCATACATGGGCATTTGGAGACAAACCCATGCCCTAGCCTGGGTTAGCCAATATATTCCTCTCCCCTGGCCCAGGGAGAGGCATGGGAACCAAGTCTGGCCAATGTCTCTGTGGCAGAGCTGGGACCCAAACCCAAATGCATGCAGAGCCTCAGCCTGGGCTCTGACCCACACAGCTGGGAGTGGGACATGGGGTTCTCAGGTCCTCAGAATCCCCAGGAGGACTGAGGCTCAAGCTGCTGACCGCCCTCGCCCCCTACCCCACTAGAGTTTCGGGTTTAATTGTCTGGGCCTGAGGATTTGCATTTTCATGTGTTTCTTCTGATGCTGCCGCGGGTCCAGGGAGCACACTTTGAGGAGCACAGTCTTAGGGTTTTCACTGTGTCTGCTTCACTTGGGAGACATCCTTGCTAGAAACCCAGCTTCATGTCTCCCTGGGAGCCTTCACTGTCTGCTGCATTTTTAAGTCTAAAATCAGGGGCTCAGGACTAGTTCATTCATTCAAACACTCACAGAGCAGGGCTTTCCCCCGGTGAGGTGCCGGGTCCCACCCTCAGGGCTCACAGTCCACGGGAGAGGGGGATGGAGGTCTGGAGAGCCAGACGGGGGTGGGGGTGGGGGCAAGAGGAACACAGCTCAGGCTCCTTCACCAGGCCTAAGAGAAGGGCCACTGGGCCCGCCATGCCCTGGTCCCCCAGAGACTCAGCAGGCGACCGGGCTGTATTTCCAGCCGAGCCAGATGCTGCACATTCCATGCACAGACACAGACACCTGCTGTTGACTCAACAGAGAGCAGCTGTCCTGGCCACCCTGCTGACAGGGACCAAGCCCCAAGCCCCATGGTTTCCCTCGGGCTGCATCTACACACCAACATGCCAGAGATACAGACCCCGGGCCCTGCCCGGCATGCTGAGACCTGGTCTCGGAGGATGCTACAGCAAGGAAGGGTCTGGAATCCCGCCCTGGACCCTCAGGGGCCTTGACAAGCTGGTAGGACCCATGGCCCTGGCCAGCTGCCCATATTCAATCCCAGCCCCAGAGGTCACAGATATTGAACTAGAGCCGCAGTGTCCCCATTTGTCAAAGGGGGACAATAAGAGTTCTTGCCCCACCGAGTTATGAGGTAGCCATTCATTCAACAAATATTTAAATAGGCACCTATTGCGTACCAGGCACCACTTTAGGGGGTGGAGGTACAACGGTGACCAACACAGGCAAAACCCTTCCCCTGTGAGCTGCTGAGCCAGCTGGGGGGCACGGCGGGAAGTGGTAACAAGGGCAGGCTCCAGAGACAGGCACCAGGGCCTGTGTGGCCTTGGGTAGGTTATTGAACCTCTCTGTGCCTCAGTTTTCTCAGCTATAAAATGGGAACCAGAGGAAGGGTTGCCATGAGAGTTGCATGAGTTAATAAGTGTAAAGGGCTTCAAGCAGTGCCCGGCAAGAAGTGCTATGTATGTATCCAAGTTAAGTAAGATCATTTTTAAAATCATGTGTCAGAGAGTGCTTAGTGCCAAGGGGGAAAATAAAGGCAGGAGAATGAGTTTAAGTGGGACAAGCCGGGAAGGCCCCTCCAGTCAGGTGATGCTGGAGTGAGGTTCGTACACAGAGCACCGGGCACAAAGCCTGTTACATTGGTGCTCATCCCTGTCCCTGCTGTGGCCGGTATCCATCTGTGACAAGTGACACTTCTCAAAGGCCAAGAAGGGGCTGTGCACCCTCCTCCCTGCCCTCCCCGAGGCCACATCACCCACCTCTTGGAACAGACCCTCCACAAAGTTGCCATCTCCAGGCCGTAGAGACGGGCAGGGCTGCAGCCTCCAGAGAGGCAGGTTCCGAATAGGCTAGGGTCCCCGCAGGTGGCAGGCAGGCAGGTGGGCCAGCAGCTTTGAGGTGGGAGCCACACTCACCTGCCAGCTCCCAGGGGCCCACCGTCCCTGGCAGGTGTGCGCCCTCCGCCAGGCCCCCCTTCCATCTACCTGGAGGCCTCCTCACCCGGGCTGCTGTGCTGTGCCTGGAAGCGCCTGCTCCCAGGGAAGCTCTGAGCCCAGGGCTCCGAGGGCTGGCCCAGCCGGGAAGGCGATGCGTGTGCAGCCTCCGGATGGCGAAATTGGGCTGCATGTCTGGCCGGTGTCACAACGGCTGGGGCAGGGAGCGCCCTCTGGGGCGGATGTTTCGCCAGCTCTGGGCGGACTCAGTAAATATTAAACAGCCCCTGGCAAGCCAGACAAGATTCCAGACGGGCACATGCAACCCACTGCCCCAGCCCTCACGTGAGGCCGGGGCAGTCCTGCCTGCTGTCATGAGGAAATACTTCGTCGGAGGCCCTGGTGCGTGGCAGCTACAGAGGCAGGCTCTGCAGGCAGGGCCCAGCCGAACCTCAATGTGACAACAGTGTCAGCTACCTTTTCTCCCGTGTCCAGCAGTGCCAGATG